AAGCCTAGTGTTACGGTGCGACTTCCGACCAAAGCCGTGTGAGGGAAAGCTTGCTCCCAAGTGGAAGGGGCCATATCGCGTCCGGGAGGTGATAGGGCCGGCCACGTTCAAGTTGGAGCGGATTGGAGGGAAGGTCGTCAAACGAACGTGGAATGCGCAGTACCTCAAAGTGTACCATGAGACGGGGGCAGGGGAGAGCTCCGAGTAACAGACCTGGGGCACAAGGAGTGGCGCCTGTCTTTTGGCCAGTATTCGAGAGTAGGTTGGGTAGGTGTAAGGGGAATTACTATTACTGCAAGCGCGCCTCCCCACGCGCTGTAAGAAACGTAACATTTGTGTTAAAGCGCCCTCCTTTTGCGCCACTGGGTTATGACAACATGTACTGCGAAGCGCCCTACTTTTGCGCCTTAATACCATGGAAACATTCGTGTTAAAGCGCCCTACTTTTTGCGCCTCGATATTAGGGTAACATTTGTGTTAAAGCGCCCCAATTTTGCGCCTTGAGATCGTGAAGCGCCCTACTTTTTGCGCTCTATAGGGAATTGTTTCACCCGTGCCTAAGTACCGGCACACAATGCGCCCTACGAGACGCGCCCTTAGTAATAACTTGATTGAAGTTGAAGTCTCCGCTTAATCCCGGGGAAGCAAGGAACATCAACATGCGGTTGTGTAAGCGCCCTACGTCCGGGAATCGAACAAGTAAAGCGCCTTATATTCCCACGCCCACACAAAGAGACGTATGAAGAGGGAAACACCACATAGTTCAGAAATATTGAAATTACATTAGAGCGAAAGTTCACAAGTTACATCAAAAGATAGGGGAATTGAAAACAACAAGTAACTGGTAGATAAGTAGTAAGGGCGCTCTGTCACTCTTCCTCCCTTCGCACCGCACCCTCGGGTGTCTCCTGTGGCTCAGGGAGGCGCCTCTAACCATCCACCTGCCCTTCGCCTTCTTCCTCCTCGCCCTCTACGCCATCATCATCTTCCGCGCCTTCATCTTCCTCCTCATCCGCCTCTTCTCATTCGGCAGCAGGCGAAGGGACTTCCAGCCCCACAATGGGCTCCAACTCACTAGCCTTGCAACCACTATCCATAAAGTTGAGGATATGCATGATCAAGGCCATGGAGTCTCACTCCACCTCAAGATGATCCTTTCTGAATTTCTCGCGAAGGATCTTCACCGTGTCAATCACGGTGTCCGCCTGGAGGTTCTTCCCCACCTCCGACTTGTTGTATTCAGCAAGGTCCTTCCTAAGGCGCTTCACCTTCGCCTCAGCCGCCCTCAGCTCCTTCTTGTGCTGATCCTTGGCCTTGGTGGCCATCTTCAGTTCCTCCAAGAACCGACGCGCCTCACCCCGGAGCCGCTCTGTTTCCGCGTGATATTTGTCACGCTCGTCTATCAGTACCGCCTGCCTCTCGCGCAGACCTCTCTCCATTTCAGCCATCTCAGCTTGCGTGGCGGCGGCCTGCGTTTCATAGCGCTCCTGGCATGCCTTCTCAACGGTCGCCTTGATTTTCTCACGCTCCGCCTCAATGCCAGTGGAAGTTTGGCCGCCCAAGCCTGGGTCTCTTTCTGCGCCTCGTCCCAGGCTTGGGTCAGCTTCTCATGCGCCTCCAGGGCGGCCGCCAGCTCATCCCGAAGGCTCTCAACTGCGCCATCGGAAGCCAAGCTCTTCTTGGCCATCCGATCGAACTCACGCGCGGTGGATTCGATCATCATCATCATCTGGCACATGCGCAATGTAACAAAGTTAGACTCGACAACAAATACTTGGTGTTAAACTTTCAAAGCTGAAGGGAAGGGCACCTTACCTGAATGGAGAGGTTGGCCATGGTACGGAGTGGCCGGTTGGAGTTGAGGTGATCGGGGCGCTCGATCACAGCGGCATGAGAAAGCACCATCTGCATCGCGGCGCCCGGGTCTTTCGCCGCCTTGACAGGCACGCCGACATCAACCTTCTCCAATGGTCGGGAGGGAGGCTGAAAATATGGGGGCAAGGTTTTCCCAGTATGCTCTCCCACGCTTGGCATAACCAAGCTGGCTGGCACGCCCGAGGCTATCACTCGGTCCATATTTGCTTTCTACGCAGCCGACAGAAGGGGCTCGGCAGGCCTTTTTTCCGATGCCTTGGAATAGGAGGCGCGGTAGGAGTCTGGGACATGGCGCCCTGGCTGCGAGGCGAAAGAGAGGCGCCTTGACTATGGTGCGATGTGGGAGGCGCCCGGCGCGTCGTCAAGATCGATGGGGGAGTTGTAAGGCGCCTGAGGCGCTTCGGTTGCAGCAGGGGAATGAGCGTGGTTCACCGGCGCCACAGGATTGGAGATAATCCTCACGCGCACCGGTTTCTTCTGAGGAGGCTGGAATGAGGAAGTCGACGCCTTGCTGGTCTTGCTACGGGCGTGAGGCGCGGGAGGAATAAGGTGAGCTTCGAGCGGATGAGGTCTGAAACGCTGGTGAAGACAGTGCCTGCAAAAATCAAGCACAGGTGTCAACCAGACGCATAAAAAGAGAGAAAGTGCATGCAATAGGCGCAAAGAAACTACCATCGTTGTAGAACTCCGCTATGTGATGAGCATACTCGTCGTTTATTTGAAGGTTTATTGGCACGGACGTAAGGCGCCGCGCCATGTCTTCCTCCGCCTTATTAAGGGGGATGGGGGTGTTTATTGAATTCGCTCTCATCTCCAAAAGTCCACTGGGTAAGGGGCGTGGCTCCACTCTTGAAGAGGGGCGCGGCGCCACTCTCGAAGAGGGGCGTGTCGCGCGGGCGGACGAAGAAGATGGACTCAAACCACGAGCGCCCCATCTTCTTACCGTGACTTATGAAGTTGTACTTCAATTTTGGGAGCTTTTGCAGGCTGAAGTAGTTGGGGCTTTTGACCATAGTGAAGAAGTGGCGAAAGAGTTTGAAAGAAGGAAGAATGTCGTGTTGACGGCACTTGAGGCGGAAGAGTACCGTGTACAGGATGATGACAGGAGAAAGGTGCCCGAGAGAACATTGGCACACGTGTAGCACGCCTTCAAGTATGGGGTCAATCGGGAAACGTAGCCCGAAGCGGGCGTACTCTTTGTACATGTCGATCCAACCCTCTCCACAGACTCCCACGCGTGCAATAGGAGACAGGTGTGCGTAGCGCCAGTTGGCGGGCATCTGCGCCGCCTGGATTAACAAAAGTTTGGACGCGTGAGGGGGCCGGCGTCTTCCTCGGACATCTGGTCAATGTCAGATGGCATGTACCCGGGAGGCCACATGTTGCCCCATTGGCTTATCCCGTACTCTCGAGGCGCGCCGGTGCCTAAGTCAGAAGAAGAGGAGGATGTCAAGAAAGGCGCTCAAGGGGGAAGGCTATGAAAAAGGAGACGCCCAAATAAAAAGGCGGGGGAGCACTCAAGTGACGAGAATGGTTTGGGGGGGGGGGGGGTGAGTGGTTATTTTTCCGACAATCCTTGCGAAGCGTGGCGCACAAACACAAGCGCGTATAATTAAAAAGGATTGTTGCAAGGCGTGTAAGTACCTGAGGCAGCGGCGGGGCGCCAGAAGGTGCGACGCCAGAAGGCGCGACGTTTGGGGATCATGGCTGGTTGGTGGAAGCCATGAGGAAGGGCGCGTAGGTAGTGGGGGATGCAATGGCACAGCAGAGGAAAGCGCCTAGCAGCGGTGGCCGAGGGAATGGCCGAGAGAGATGGCCGAAGGCTGAGAAAAGCACTTGAGAGCAGCAAAGAGCAAGGTAGAGAGAGGAAGTAGAGAGAGAGCGAATTTGACAGAATGAGGAAGGAGGAAGTAGTGGGGGCAATTTATAGGCGAGGAAAGTGGGGGAGAGAGAGCGAAGCAAGGGCGGCGAACGGTCGCCTAGGCTGAGGCGAATTCAAATTGCGCAATTTGAATCCGTTTCAGCCTAGGGGGAGAGGAAAATGGGCCGGGGATCGAGGCGGAAGCCCAAAGGTCCACTCGCAATAAATAAAAAGAAAAAATTAATAGTAAAGAAAATAGAAAAGGAAAGAGGGAGGAGACAAGTAAAGGGAGGAGTACTAACGCGCGTGTGGGGCGCAACCCGTAAGTCAGCAGAAGGTGAGAGAGTCAGAGCCCGAACGGGGGTAGTGCGGAAGAAAGCGCACGCCTCCGAAGGGATAGGTGGAAAAGGGGGCACGCAGTAGGGCCTGAAGGCACTTCTCGGAACGCCGGGGTAGTTAGGCCCCCACCAGATGGTAGGCGCCTAACTGGGGGGCAATTGTTGGGGGCATACAGGGGCCCAAGAGAGGAGCCCAGAGAATTGAGAAGGGCCTAGGATGTGGGCCTGGCAAGGGGAAAGCCCATCCCAAAAGGGGCCTGAGGTTGTAACCTAGGCGGTGGGTCCGAGCATGACGTAAGGCGCATAACGACAAAAATGACAACGGCCAGGAGCGTACGGAGGGAACAGGAAGTGGGGTCATGCGCCTCGGTGATAAGGCCTGATGTCAGAATGTCGAGGCGCATGACAGAGGTAAAGTACGATGCATTAAATGAGATGATGACGTGGGCGGATTTGGGGGGCACTGGTCGACCCTACCTGGGGTATAAATAGTGAAGTGGGTGGAGCTCATTTACTCAGGTTGGAACTTCTCTCTAAAACTATACTCCACTTCTCTCTCTAGAAACACTGTTCTAACTTGGGCGTCGGAGTGCTAACGAGCCCCAAGCAAGGGGTTCGGTGTGCGCCTTCGTGTGCAGGAACGAAGTGGAAGGTCAGAGCGAGTTCCAGGGAGAGAGGCGCATCGGCCATCGGAGAGTTTCGGGTTACGTGGCATAAACATATATAAAAATAATGATTTTAAAATAAATATATATATATAAATAATATTAAAGTTAACAATTTAATTCATAAAATACGGATAATAAACGTGTTATATGGATTTTATACGTGTTTAGTAAGGGAGACATCAAATAAACGGGAGATAATGAAACGGTGTGACAATAATACGGATACGGAAGTTTTAAACGGATATAGTATATACGAGTACATAAACGGAGTATTTACTAACTAGTGCTGATTTACAAGCTTCATTCCCTTACCCACATCTTCGCAACGCACCACAGGCGAAACAAAACCTTCGGGACAATCGAAATCAGGAGGATTATGGAAACACGGCTCCGCCGAAACTGCTCTCCGACACTCTGCTTCTCCGCCGTCGCCGGCGCCGCCAATATCCGGAATCTGCAAAATCCACGGTTTCACCCCGCCAAGCCCATGAGCTACATACCCAAAAGTCGACCAAGCGCTCGTCAACAATACATCGCACATGCTCAGCAGATACATATCAACCCACGCCTTCATATTGTGTGATGCATCCCCAAGCCTCTGACTCTCTTCCTGACTCGCCTGATAAACCCCGACCCCTGCCGCATTAACCTTTAGCTCTTTGTAAAAATCACCCGATAACGAAGCAACCAAAACTGCCCTGTTTCCGGTCCGATTCAAGATCCCCTGTTTCCGGATGCACGATAAAACATGCTTCATCACCAAAGGTGTTGACTTCCCTCTTGAATCATTGAACACCCTAATCTGAATCCCGATTCTCTCATCGGCTTTGGATAGAAACGTTTCGTAGAATGTGGAGATGAAACCCCAAGCTTGGTGTGATGGGCTGAAGAGGTATCTCCCCAATTGATGAAAAACGGTCTCCCTGTTGGGGAATAGTCTGTCCAGTTCTGGTCTGAAACAGGGCATCAGGAAGAGATAGGGGAGGAAGTACTGATCCGAATGCAAGATCAGCCAGGGAACCGATTCGATACGTTTCTGATTCTCATCTCTAAAGAAGAACTTTTCGTAGTTTCGGCACCGGTATGGAAGATAGAGCAAGTAGTGAATGTAGTTGTGGGCGTCTCTGAAGTGCAGAGTAGTGGCGTCATCGAATACTCTTGTGGAGTCTTGTTTGGGTAACAGCCAGGTGGAGTTGGGAAACGGCTCGCGGAAGAGATCCGTCATGTCGGGGCCGAAATTGACTAGGAGTGTGCGGTTGGTGAGGAGAGCATAGAGAAATGCAGAGGCTAAGCTGAGCATTCTGTTTCCTAATCCATTTACCGGGGTGTACACAATGTAGTTGCAGGCGGCGGCGGCGGCCGGATTGGAGTTTGAGTTGTTCTTGTTTGTGAGGAGTTGGTGGATGGTTTGGTTGAAGGATTGAGAATGCGGTTGGCAGCGTTTGTGATGGCGCTCGTAGGCTCGCAGCTTGGAGATTAAGTGTGGAGAGTTTATACGGGACAATGATGATATCTTCTGGTGAGGTTTGATTGTGTGATGGTAATTGTGGGGATTTGGGAATGATCCTGAGGATGGGATGATTTGGGGATTCCTGGACAGGACTGAGAATGAGATGATAATGACAAGAAGAGATGCAAAGGTTAAAGCGGCCAATGCCGTTGTCCTGAATCTGGATCTCGTCTGTAGAGTTACCATGTTTTGGTATGGTGTGCAAACACAGTACTGATAAAGATTATAACCGCAGTTTTTAATACAGGGACGAGGAAATCAAGAAGTGGTAGTAAAAAAAAAAGAACTCAATGTTGATAGTAGGATTAGGCATCGCAATTCAATTTGATGGTAGGGTTAGGCATAGCAATTCAATTCGTCCTCACAGCTATCTAATTCGGTTCAATCCGATCAAAGCGGGTAAAACTCATATGTTGATAGATTTGGGCGAGATGCGAGTTTTACCTGCTTTGGAAATAGGCAAGTAGAGTGTCGTTTGAAGTTTTGTCGAAATCCCATTCCCTTCCATCCAACTCACACCAAGAAAGATTACCTCCTTGTGGTGAGAAGGTCAACCGAGAAATGCGCTCAGCACTGGAAGTGGAGAAAGTTTGCGAGGAATTCCGATTGGAGAGGGGACGACTCGAAGACACCAGATTCTTGTTTATGGGCCGAGACCTGAACCAACCACCAACCCATATTTTAGTTCATTGCCTGTGTAATTGGGATTCAGAGGAGATTTTGGCTTCTTACCCTTTCTTTCACGAGATCGTTCAATTGATTCCAACAAACATAAGAAGCAGGCTGAGTTTATCCGGAAAAAAAAAAAAAACTCACATCTAGAAAGCAAAACCATATCATTTGGTATCAATATGAACAATATGGATTCACGAACTCACTGGATTTTTTAAGAGAAAAACTCAACTTCACCTATGGTTAACAAACCTAACCATACAATCATTCGCCAAACACCCGGTTAAAAAAGGCTAATACCACTAGGAAACCCGAACTATTAACTTTGTGCCAATTGCGTCCTAGAGTATCCGATCTGACATTTGTGTCCTAAACTATTTGTTCGTTTGAGTTGACCAGGGTTGACCGTTAACATTTAACAGAAAATCCAGTCACCGTTGACGTGGCATCTGACATGAAATTTTAATATTAATTTTAGTTACTTTTCCATTCTAATAAAAAATTAAAATCCAACGGCCTCTTATCTCGGCGGGAGGGAGATCTAGTCGTCTTGCTGATTAGATGAGCGACTGAAGGCAATCCCTATAGAGATTCATCTGCCCGAATCTCCCTTCTATTTCTCCAAAGTGTCAACAAACGAATTAATTTCTAGATCGAGCCGCACTTCTATTCCTTGCATCCCCTCCTTCTCTCCCCTGTTCCCGATCTCGTTAGAAAATTAAAAATCGAAGCGGCGAGTGTGGGTGTGGAGATGGTAAGGTCAGCAGCGGCCATGGTCTCGAGGATCTGCTCGAGATTTGTCCATTGAATTGCATGACGAGAGGCTCCCCTCTGTTTCTCCCTCTTCTTTCAAATTTCACTAATCCAAATCCCCTCCCTGACTACGAACCCACAAAATCCCTCCTTAAATGTGCTTAATTAAGTGGGTTTCTGCCATTGCGGTCCATAACAGAGATCTCATCGACGGGGAGGCCGTCAATCTGCGGGACGGAAATCGGGATGAAGAAGATGAGTTCCTTCCTGATGGCGGGGAAGAGGAAGAAGATTCGGGAGAAAAGGTAGAGGAATAAACAGAGAAGCTGGCGGAGGGAGGAGCGCAAGGGGAGGAGGAGCAGCTGCGGTGGAGAAGGAGTAGGTCTCGGCGGCAGGGAGACGAGGAGAGACGAGTCAGGGGTCCGGCTTGGCCGCCCTTTTTTTAGAGAGAGGGGAACCGATAGATAATAATAGTGAGAGTTTTTATTTTGTTTCTATTATGTTTATTTTTAATTTAATTTTCAATTTAAAATATGAGTTGTCAGTAACGTGGCAGCCACGTTTTTGCCACGTCAGCAAAATTCAATGTCAAGTTGACCACCGTCCGGTCAACCATTATCTATAACGGTCAACAAAATCGTCAGGACATAAATGACACAAAACTATAATAGGTTTGGACAAAAATGTCATATCGAATACTTTAGGACACAAATGACAAAGTTAATAGTTCGGGTTTCCTAGTGGTATTAGCCCTTAAAAAATTATGGATAGTATTAGTATTTGTATAAATATAAACTTATTACACATATATTATTAGTCTTTACGAAGTGGGTGTTTGGAGAAATAATGTATAGCTATGTTCGTTAATTTATGAATAGTATTAGTATTTTTGTAACTATAAACATACTATAGATATAAAAATAATCTAACTTACAAAAAAATAAAAGTGAAAAAATACTAAATTATAGTGTTTATTTATAAATTATAATGTACTGAATACAAAATAAATGAGGGAGTAGATAGAGGGTTCCTGGTCGCATTAATTGTTGCAGGGTACAACGTCAATTAGTCAGCCATCCCTTCCCCCACAGTTATAAATTTTTGTAGCTATTGATAAATGTTTGACCCAGGTAGGAAGCAGAAGGGAGAAAAGTTGTCGTTGGATGATCGGAGGTTCGGTGGACATTAGATTTCATGGCTCGTATGATATGGTATATTTGTAGGGGTGGGCAAGTGTACCTAGTCACCTCACTGCATCAACACAAACCGTACCACATTGTATGTCATTCATCACACCCTTGTTGAGTTCGATCCAAGATATTCTTTCCTGTTGGGAGGCAATTGTTCACCCATCTCCATCTGAAAACCTTCACTTTTTGGAGGAATATAATTTTCCAGTATCTTGCCCAGTTCACAAGGATATGTACCTCTTCCTCTTGTTCGTTATGCTTTATCCTTTATTCCTCATAGGCTGATCTCACTATGCAGCTTCCATTCCTCTACAGCCTCCACACTTTTTTCATCCTGAGCTGGTTGTCTAGGAATTGGGGTTTTGATGATTTGTTGTCTGTCCATAAGACTGAAGTAGTGTTGTAGAAGATCTGTGCCAAGATCGAGTATCATGATCAATTAGTTCTGATACCGAGGTGCTCGCATTAATAGGCCTAACCGGCGATGTAATTTTTTCTCGTGTATCATCTTGTAACCATCTATCTACTTTCCTTCCATCTCCAATTTTCCATCTCAATCCTCCCTTCACCAGATTCTTAGCAGCCATGAGGCTTCTCCAAGTATAACTTGGATTCTGCCCCTCTTCTACTTCCAGAAGATCCCTACTGGGATAATAGCTTGCTTTCTATACCCTGGCCACCACTGAGTTTGGATTTTGAGTTAGGTTCCATAAGTGGTCTGTGCTTGTGCTACAAATTTCAAGAGCACTTATTTACCTCCATAGGATAGTAGTTTGCTCTTCCATATTTTAACCTTCCTCTTCGCTCTGTCTACCAAGTAGCTGAAAATCGCTTTCTTTTCTTGTCCCACTTTTGTTGGTAGTCCTAGGTACTTTGCATGAGTCTCTACCACCATCATTCGTAGTATGTCACTCAGTTCTGTCGCTTCTTCTCTAGAATGTTTGGTCTAAGGTTAATTTTAATTTTGTCAAGTTGACTTTCTGGCCTGAATCTGCCTCATAAAGGCTCAAAATTTCTTCAACCTCTCACATCCTTGTGGAGTAGTGATGACTCGAGATTTGCACATGTTTTCCCCTTTGTTTCTTGATCGTTTAAGCTTGCATTATCGCTTCTTTGGCCTATTTTATGCTAGGTTGTGTTCCTTTGTCACATTTCAGCTCTTATCACATAAAGTGAAGCATAGGCGCAAGTTTCAAGTCAATCGGAGATCAATTGGCGACTCGGGGGAAGAAACTCGGGTATGACTTGAAGAATAATGGATTTCTACCTCAGTTTGTGAGCATATAATCATATAATATTTTCATGAGAAGAAAGAGGACGAGACTACGAGCGTCTAGGATCAGACGACACCTGATTTGGAGTCCGAACGAGGGAGAAATGAAGAATCAAAGATAGGGGACCCGGAACTGCAAAATACTCGACCATAATACCCTACCGTGTATTTTGACCATCTGATAGGGTATTTTGGCAGCATCAGATGGACCCCCCGGTCGTGAACAAAAAATACCCGATCGGGTGCTAAAAATACCCGACCTAGTATTTTCCCTTTTGCCTAGAAGAGTGACCCAGAGCATTTTGTTGATACCAGACCGGTTCCCCAAATACCTGACTGGGGATCATGAACGCAGGGTGTTAAAAGCCTGTTTTATGCGTTTTTGCAAGAGAGAGCTGGGTTTTGGATCCCAAATACCCAAGGGACGAACCAAAGAGAGAGAGGGCGATTTGAGGGCATTCTAAGAGTGGAATTGGAGGATTTCTTCGCCTTGGAAGCTCGAGGAACAAGCCCGGACTAGAAGACTGATCATCTGAAGATTCTTACTGCAGTCTTTCTCTTCTCTATGGAGTAACTTCCCTTCACTTAGGTTTTGAGGAACCCTAGCTATGTTTGTTTGATTGGATGATTGTATGAGTACTCCTACTTGACAATCTTGAGTTCATATTCAATCTATGCACGTTTTCATGATTCAATTCTGCTTTAGTCGAGATTATTGATTCTGCTTTGATCCTATGAGAGCGAATACCTGATTAGGTCAGTAGAGCATCATAGATTGATAGTATTGGATCGATTGCTTTAGTCGAGGATTGATTCACTACTTTGTATCGATTGAGAACCTCATTCGATAGAGGGAGTCTAGTTCAGAACGCCTTGATCGGTTGTTCTAGAGAAGGATACGTCCCTCTAGGCAATTGACTCAAGAGGGCCTTGATCCTTTGGTCGAGATTCAATGTATAGTCATGGATTCTCAGCATTGTGAATGAAAGTGAAACAAGTTAGAAATCATCAATCATTAATCTGGCTAGTGGCTAGGGTGAATCATACCTAAGTGAGTTCCCAACCTGTAATTAGATTAACTTTAACTGTAGTTTGTTAGAGTAGTTTTAGTTGTTCCATCTTAATCTGGTTTGCTAGATAATGAACTGAAGCTGAGTAATAGTAACTCTAGAAACCCGCGGATTCGGTATTTATTACTTGAGCCACTATATTGCAGTCCCTTTTATTGGTTACACTTGGCCATTGTTAGGAGTTGTGTCATAGCGAGCCAAGTAGCTCTTGAAAAGATGATATTGTCATCTACAAATAGTAGATAAGAAATCATAGGCGCCCCTCCCTTTAGTCTGATTCCTTTCAATTTATCTTCTGAAACTCTTTTTTTTTAATAAGATTTGATAAGCCCTCCACCACTAATAAAAACATATAAGGGGACAAAGGATCCCCTTTTCTGAGTCGTCTAGTAGGTGTAAAGGTTTGAGTTTGATGCCAATTCACCAACACTGAAAAACTAATCATAGTCACACAATGCATGATCATCTTCACACATCTCTCAGCAAACCCCAACTTGCGCATCATAGCTTCTAAGAAACTCCACTCCAACCTATCATATGCTTTAGATACATCCAGTTTTTCCGCCATAAAGTCTTTCCTCCCCTGTCTTCTTTCTTTCATTGAGTGAAAAATACTCAAAAGTCACCAGAATGTTATCAGTAATCAATCTCCCTGCACGAACGCACTCTGCACATATCACTTTATTTAGCATTTTTTTTTAAGTATGTTCGCCAATACCTTTGAAAAGATTTTGTAATAAAACTTGCATAGGCTAATTGGACGAAAATCATCAGGAGTTTCTGGTACCTTTTTCTTTAGGATGAGGGCTATTAATGTATGGTTTAGATATTGTGGAAACTCCCCTCTATCCCAACACATTTGTAACCTCCTTTTTAATATTGTGCCAATTCTTTTGAAAAAACATAGCAGACATCCCATCCGCTTCTGGAGCTTTATTCGGTCCCATATGCTTAAGAGCTTCCCATATTTCTTCTTCAGATAGTGGTTGCAATAGAATCTCATTCATCTCTGCGGTCATTTTCTGACTTGTTGCTTCCATAATAGTTTGACAAAATTGTAGCGTTCCATTTAGATATACATCTTTAAAGTGATCTAACACACATTGGGCCACCTCTTGATGTCCTGTCATAACATGCCCTTTTGAGTTTTTTTTAACCTTTCTTATCGTATTCCTGTTCCTTCTATCTGATGCCTTGCGATGAAAGTATTTTGTATTTTTATCTCCTCCTTGCAGCCAATAAGCTCTGGACCTCTATCGCCACTTCAATTCTTCTTGTATCATGATTTCATTTAGTTCCTTTAGTAAAGCTTTTCTTTGTAATACCACTTTTGCATTTGAATTCCTTTTTTCTAGTTTATCTAAACCTCTCTCCGCCTTCATCCTTTGGTACTTAAGACTGCCAAACCTCTCTCTTCTCCAAGCAAGTAACTTCCCTTCACAATTTGCAATCCTTTCTGTAATACTTCTATTCTCTTCCATCCCCCAAGCTTCTTTAATGACCTGCTGGCAGTTCTCATGCCTTTTCTAGTAAGGCTCAAAACGGAACTCCATCCCCATTTTACATCTTCTACCACTAGATATGTTTGTAACAGTATTGGACAGTGGTTAGATCCACATTTCCACAAATGTTAGACTCTGGCATGTGGGAAACGTGATCTCCAACTTATGTCTACCACTATTCTGTCTAATCTTTCCTCCACATAGTCCTCAGTTGTTTTCTAGTTATCCCATGTAAACGTCTTACCATAGTATCCCAAATCATCTAGACCACACACATCTAGAGCATTTTTAAACCCTAACATCTCCCGTGCATCAGCCAACCTGGCTCAATTCTTTTCCTCATAGCTTGCCACCTGATTATAATCCCCACAGACTAGCCATGGTACATCCGATAGATCCTTCAAATAAGTCAACAATTCCCTTGTTTTCTTCTTATTTTCCTGTTTTGACCACCCCTAGATTTCCGTAACCCTCCACTTGTATCCTTGGTCCTCAATACACATATATATGTTTTAAAGATACCTCCTTCACCTCCACATTTAGATCACTTTCCCAAAGAGGCAGTAAGACTCCCGCCCTTCTAATCGATCCCACACCCTTCCTTTCTCCCACCCAATTTCTGTCATCACACCTTGCCACTTAGAATCTTACTTTTTTGTATCCGTTAGGAAGACAATATCAGGAGTTTTATTTTGGAGTAAAGTCTCCAATTTTTTAATTGCCAGTGGACTCCCTAACCCCTGACAAGTATAACTTAAGACCTTTATTGAGCTGGGCGTCTTTGGTTCACCCAGAGTCCACCACATTGCCATCCATGATTTGTTTTGAGACCTATTTTATTTTTCTACCATCTTCTTTTATCATCAAGCTAGATTACATCTACGCTTTCTTCGTTGTTCCACCTTCCTCAGTCTGACTTGGTGTCAACTCCTCTGTTTCCAGTTATTCCATTAGTCTTTTTTTTAGGGGTCCCAGGAGTCTGCTTGTTTTTTAGTTTCCGTCTATCCTCCTTGGTGAGCAGAGTCCAACATCACTTTGTTCCTTTTATATGTATCTTTGGATCCATTAACCCCACCGCAAAGGTCACATTCTTTGATAAAATTTATGTCAACGCCTTTTCCTTCGTGATTTCCTCTTGTTTTTTTTCATGGGAAAGCTTTTAAAAAAATCCCCATGTCCACTCCCCATCAGATTCTGTACTTTCATGTCCAACTCCCCACCCTTCCTTTATATGGGTTCTTATTAGTGTGCTTGTGTAGTTCAGCCATGTTATATTGGGCTTTGATCTCCTTCCAAACCATTTCACTTTTCTCCCTCTCCTCTTTATTTGTCTGTGCCTTTGGTGGTGGTGGACTAGCTTTTAGCCATAGTCCATCTCTATCTCTAACTATATGATGAGGTTCTTTGCAATACAGCTTTTGATGCCCAATTTTGCCACAGGAGAAACAAAATATAGGCAATCTTTCATACTTTACTTTAAAGCTCCTTATTTCTCCCTTTATTTCCAGGTTAAGATCATCCTTCGGCGGTGTTGTGATGTTCTTTGCAACTCTCATGCGCATGACAAAACAACATATAAATCATAAAAAAATTTCTTTGATTATTTCCAGGAGATTGTCCTAAATGATAAAAATTCGAACATACAACATAAATCATAAAAAACCAAATACAATGCCTAAAATCAGTATATCATTTAACAAAAATGTTAGAAAAACTACCGCACTTTCAATACATCGTTTTAGATTCTGATGGTGGGGCTGAATATTTCAAGAGGCATCATGAGGATTTATAATAAAAATGTACATATGCATCTATAATTGGACAAAAACGGGTTGAATAGTAGGAAAATCATGTCCGCCCACTATCCTTTATTTTCGGATTTGGATTTTATCCATAACATCGGGTGATTGATTTAATTTGAGTATTTATCCTGTTTAATTAGGTCATATTGACACAATAACCATGTTAATGGATATTTTTTTATCGCTATAAAAAAATTGTGAGTTACTCATATTTAAAATTTGACAATATCAATAACCATGAAGTCACATGACGGGTAGTTCAGAATCATTAGAGCATTTGTTCCTATACTGTCCGCTGGCTCGAGCCCTCTGGGATTACTCGGGACTGGACTATCTAGGGGAGGGTTTGCCTCGTTAGACGTTTCCTTTTTTTCTCAAAAGGCTCTTGGCCTTAACCAATCAACCAACCTTGTTTATGGCGGTGGTTGCCATCCTCTGGCGGATCTGGCGTTCTCGTAACTGGGTTGTTTTTGAAGGGAAACAGTTTGGGGTCCAGGTGTTGATGCGTCAGTTTATCCAGCAGTATGAGGAATGGGTTCGGTTGCCCGCCCGCTCCATCTCGCAGTCTCCTCCCACTATCCCTGGTCAGCTGGACGCGGACGGAGATCCTCGTATGGTCTGTAGGTGGGATAAGGCCACTAGGAGGGGGTCCCACTCGGCTGGTGGAATGGTTCTTGTGTATCCTACGGGGGTGATCAGTATGGCTGCAGGAATGCAATTTTCGTTTATTGATGACCCGATGGTAGTAGAACTGTTGGTGCTTCGGGAGGCTGTGCTATGCTGCCGAGGGTTAGGGCTTAGCGATGTTAGGTTTGAAGGCGACGCCAAAGTCACTATTGACAAGCTCAATCGGGGGGGGGGGGGGGGGGGGGGGGGGGGGGACCATGGAGATAATAGGATGGGTGCTGTTCTTGAAGAAATTGCTAATTGTCTCCATGTCCAGCCTGAGTATAGTATTCGGTTTGTAGGTCGGCGTAGTAACAGGGTAGCCCATATGGTGGCTAGAAAATCCCTTTCTTTGTATCCGGCCATAAGTCGTTCCTTTGATTTTTAGACCTGGCTGACTTTCAGGGTGTAACTGTCTATTATTTGAATCAATATAAGATTATCTTTTGTAAAAAAAAAAAAAAGTCACATGACGGGCCACCTAAACCAATTACATAATTAGAAGCAGACATAACTAGTTTAGATGATCGTGATAATTTTTTTTTATTTTCTACAGCTTTAGTGACCGACAAAAAACTTGATCTGGAGAATTAGTAGCATTCTAGTGAAGAAGACCACATGCCAATAATTGATCTTTGTATTTTTTTCCCCCTTCACCAATAGCTCAATCGCATTATCAGAACACAAATATTAATACTGTTCACAATTCAAACGAGAATAAATTGAGAAAATCGTAGCTAGCCACATTTGCGGGAAACAAAAATGGGCATTCTTAGACTATCCTATGAGCCACCCGGTTGTTCAGTCCGCCAACAAAAGCCATCGATAACGTCCAATACTTATGCCGCAACTGGGCAATCTCTTCCAAAATCACTCATGTCCTTGCATCTTGCATATCCAAATCATGATTCTATCAATTAGACCTTTTCACATCTCTATGAAAGGTTACCGCAGTTAGACCCATAAAAAGCACCACCACTGAATTGGGTCACGGAATGCCGAATGCACCAACTCAGTGAGAAAAGGAATAAAGGATCTTACAAATTAAACCTGCATAATTAAGAAAGCCTTTGTTGTTTGAAAAGAAACCAACAACCACTTATTGTTTCACTTGTGCTTGGTGGCGATTTGGGATTTACTTCCATCCGATTCAATTTTCGTGACAATGTACTTAGATATGATTTGGCAGAACACCCCGTAAAAACGTTGAATACTGAATTTTCTATTTGTGAAGATATTGTTAAACTACAAATCTATCAATTCGACAGATGCGTTTATTTTCTTGAAAAGATCTTAAAAGCTAGGATTAACACACACATGACGACAAACATCAAAGGCGGGAACTTGAAACCACATATATATGTTAATATTGCTCTGTTTATTAACTTCTTTTTGTGCAAAAGGACAAACTAAGGGGGAAGAAGAAGAAAACCATAGGTGGTTCGCGAAGGAAGCAACCATCAGGGCCCCAAAAAAAAAGAAAGCCGTGCTTTATAACCTCCCACCCACTTCATAATAATAATGTACATAAAGCACGGCTCAAAAAAGAGGGCAAAAAGAAAAGAAAAGGAAAAAAAAACATTAAACAGAAATTTAATAGCAGTTTAATTCCTGTTTTTGTCTCTTGGCTTGATCACCAACTCTCCACCATTTGATAAACCACCAAGACGACCTCAATTAATTACTCATAATTATAATCACGGTGAGCGCTTAGCTATCGGAAAAGGTAGATGCTGAGCTCCTGACCGATGCTCCCATCAGGGTCAACCAGGTGGAACGACTCCGACCCGGACCCGCCGGAAGCCCGCCGCCTCTGGAAGTTGGCCCTCAGATACGTCACCTCATCGTTCATCACTCCCGCCCCAACCGCCACCGACCCCAGCACCCGCAGAGCCTCCACGTCGGCCTCCGTCGGCCGCCGCCTCACCGCGTACCCGGCCCTCCTCCCGTTGCAATACGTCGTCCACGCCGGCACCGACGTCAGCGGCGAGCCACTGCTGAAAAAATCCCTATCATTGTCCCGGTCGGCGGCGGTGCTGCGGAGGGCGATGCGGAGGACGCCGGATTCCATTTCGCGGGCGAGGATTGGCGCCGGGACCGCCAGCTCGAGGAGGAGGAGGATGTTTGGCGACTTGTTGTTGTTGCTGCTGCGGTGGGTTTGGAAGCAGAGGCTGATTTTGCCGCGGCGGGAGCCGAATATGGTGCCGGTGACTAATGTGGCGGCGGCGGCGGCGGAGGGTTTGGGATTAACGGGGTATTGGTGGTGTTTGGTTTCTTGTTCGTCTTCTAGGAAGTGGTCGTCGGAGGAGAAGGTGGTGCAGTTGCAGGTGGGGATGAGAAAGGCGAGGAGGGAGCGGAAGAGCCGCCATGACTTGACCTGGCTCTGGCATTCCACGGAAGTTATGGCTGCTGCCGCCGCCATTTTTGGTGGAGGATCAGGATTGGACTTTCTTTGGAGGGGATGGCGAAGCTGCCTATTAGCTAGCCAAGCTACTTGAACTTTCTTTAGGCTTCAAGTATAAAGTGGAGGAGTGTGTTGTGTGTGTGTATCTATTTATATGTGTCTGAATCGCTGTATTTAGTTTATAATAAGGTCAAAAAAATTTAGAGAGAGTAATAGATTATTCCAATTAATATTTGATAATAGGAGCTGCGTATTTATTTATTACATAACCTATATTTCCTAATAATTAGAAATGTCTTGGGCAGTTTGATTTTTATGCGATCAAACCGGTTAATTTAGAATCTGGTGATTCTATTAGGGCTCGTTTGCTTATTGGATTTGAAAAATGAGAGTTTTGGCCAATAAAATTTTTGGGATTTATGTTGGATTTATTGAATTATGGATTTGAAGAGTCTAATGTTTGCATGATAGATTTGATGATGAATTTGTTAAATAAATAACTAATCATTAAGGATTTGCAAATTCCAAATCAATATGTAGGATTTACAAGTCCGTGGAGTCCACGGATTTGGTTCCAAAATAAAGTCCAAATCCGTAGACCCACGTATTTAGCACCCTTCAACAAACAATAGACTTATGTTAAATCCATCAAGTTTGGGATTTGGGTACAAAATCCATGGCCCAAATCCAACAAGCAAACGACCCCTTAGTATTATCATTAAATTGATTCTGAGATAGAACCCAATTGGATTAACCACAGTCCACAGGTTGCTTATAACTCTCGAATTGTATGTTCTAATTTTCAGACCAATAGCCAGTCGCTCTTAACTTGATTACATATTTAAAATAAATATCATGTGCCGTGTGCTAATTGGTCTCATTAATTTATGTGTAATATCCATTTTCTCTCATGTATTGTATATATCAACATTGATCCACAGTTTAGCTCTTACCTAAACTTCATTTACAAAAGAGTTGTTTTTTTTGTTGTTGGTAGTTAATGAAAAAGTTATCTACATAATAAACCAAAAGTGTACAACTTGTAACAATCCCATCTCATATTCTTTCTCTAGTAGAAGTTGCACTTATTCTACCCAAAAAAAAAAAAAAAAACTGCACTTATCATATTTGAAGGATGATTCACTTATAAGTTAACCCAATGTGTCTTTGTTTTTACAAGCTTAATTATAATGGAATTATTTAAACTCTTGAATGGGACACAAAAAGGAAGCTTTTCAAAAGAAAATATAATTCAAACAGATTGTATAAAGTAAAAGTGGGCAATTGGAATTGACATTTCCATGTTTGTTCGTTAAAAAAAAAAATTTGACATTTGCACCAAACTTGCATAGTTTTATTTATTTGACGAAGGTTCACATCACATACCACAATTGAGATAAGATGAGCAAGCAAGCACGCTTGAATAAAATTTCCTTGCATGCGTGCATATACCGGTCATTTTCTTTCTTCACTTTATCCTAATGATGATTTTATCTATCTTCCTACACTTTGGTGTCACATGACTTAGTTACTTACAATTGAACAGAAAATCGAGTGTTATTTTTAGAGGATTGCCTCACAGCCTTTAGGTTACATTCAGAGACAATCTCATTAGTAATTCTTTGGAAGTTCATATGAATGAACTTCGACACACTTTGTTGTCCACTGTCAAGTAGAGCACTTCTACTATGCTATAAAGTATTGGTACTTTAATGTACAACTTAAAGTTGTACCATAACGTTAAATGTACAAGTTCAGGTTGTACCATAAAAGAATTTGTGCTCTTATGTTATGGTACAACTTTATAACTTAAACTTGTACCATCAAATGAAAGTACAAGTTTAAGTTGTACCATAAAACAATTTGACAAAAGAGTATAGGTACAATCTGAAGTTGTACCATAACGTTAAAGGTACAACTTCAAATTGTACCATAAAGGGAAAAATCTATAGCACCAATACTATATAGCATTGTAAAATTCCTCCTGTCAAGTATCGCAAGAACACTCCCTTTGTTAAAAAAAAAAAAAATTGTTTAAGGTTGCCATGAAAATGAGAAAATAATTACCCCTTCAATCAAAACGCGTATCCTGTATAGCTAATGATTCCTCATTAATTATCATTCTTTATTTTCATATTAGAAAAAATAAAGAATAATTAACATGAAATATCTCCATGATCTCGTAGTCACTCATCCGACTCGACCACAACACACATGTGATTTGAAAGTCACTTAGATACACCTTTCTTCCACAAAAACTAGCAAACTGAAGGAGCTACACCCTTTGGAGATAGAAATATATTCTTAAACATCTTTTAAGACTTCCATCGTTAACTTTCAAAACCTCTTATATTCATTTTTAAAATTTCCTTTCAAAGCCATCTCTTCTAAACAAAAGAAACAAGTAATGAGAATATTATGAAAAGCCGTACAATCGTGAAAAGAAAGGAAAACAGAGTATATATGAATCTGAAAAGCATCGTACGTTTTCTTTGTTGCCATCCATCATGCTAATCATTAATTAGACCTTAACCTAACCCTGTTCAAGTGTTGCTCATGCAACAAAACTCCAACGTAGACAGGCATGCAAAAGAATCTTTTGGTAAGCCTTTTGTCGGACAAAAGCCACATTTTCATCACCACTAGATTCTCCATTCATTCCTTCCCTCCCTCTTTACCCCACTTTGTTGTTTTCCTCTTCTTCTAAGGCCATACATACGTGGAGAAGAATGCGCGCCAAATTAGGGTTGCGAAAAGAAAGAAAAGAAAAGAAAAGAAAAGAAAAGAAAAGAAAATGGAGGATATAATAAACTGGCAGTGGGGGCTTGGTTCTTCTTTGTGCTTTTCTAGCCTGGTTTTCTCCACTCATGTCTTCTCTCTTTCCATGTAAGCAGCAGATGACAGATTGCCAAAGTGTGTTTCGCCGTTTCTTCATTAGGTGAACACCAGATGACAGATTGCTAAAGCCCTGTGTTTTCAAGCTAGCCAGGTTGAGATAAATTCTGAGCAGTTAAATTCTAACCATGCGTAAAGAGGAGTAATTCAACGGTAAAAAAGTAGGGGGACGAGTTATGGTGACAACCCTTTAAGGGGTTGTGGGTTTGACAACCCACTTTATAGCCATTAGATGTATTATCTCTCTTGTCTCTCTCCTGTTATTTTTAAATTGAAGGTTGAGATGAAATGAATGGTGTTTTTGAGATGAAAAAACTTACCACACCCAATCATTTTCCTCCCATATAAAATAATAAAACCCTAATCTAATTCATGCCAACTTCACAGCCGTTCACCACCTCATGCTTCCCTTCCTCCCTTTCTTCCGCGGACGTTGTTGCCGCCGCCGCATCTCCCTCTTCCTCTCCCATGCCCACCGCCACCCCTGACCTCCGCCGCGTCGGCTGTCCTCACCGTCCTGCCGCACCTGCTGTCCCCGCCATCATGATCGAGATCTACGCCGCCGCCTGGCTCCGCGACGTCAAGATCGGCTCCGTCCGCGTTCTCATTAGCAACCTCTTCCCCTCCTCCGGCAATGGCAACAACAACCACAACAATGCCAAGATGCGGTTCGTCGCGCTCCAGATCCGCCGCCCCTCCGGTCGGCCGCAAGGGATCCTCAACATGGGTGTGCAGCTCCTCGACAACACCATGCGCTCCATGCCGCTCTACACCGAGCTCTCTACCTCCGGCGTCGGCTTCAACGACCTCCTCGACGCCAAGGCCACCGCCGGGGGTGCGAAGAATCTCGAGGAGAAGACCGCCAAGCTTCGCCGCACCAAGAGCGACCGCACCGACCTCACCTCAGCAGACAACGACACCCACGTCACCCGTAGTGCTATTGGTATGCTACCACTACTCACTGATACGTACCAGTGGCTCCCCTATCATCTGGTACCACTATCATCTGGTACCACTATCATCTGATACCACTATCATCTGTTTTTTTTGTGTTATTCTCTACTGGTACCGTTACTAATGCTAGTGGTAGCGCTACCAGTGCTAGTGGTACGATACAATATGGTAGTGGTAGCGCTATACTGGTAGCGTACCACTAGTACTGGTACATTGTTTAACGCACTGGTAGCGTACCACTAGTACTGGTACATTGTTTAACGCACTGGTAGCGTACCACTAGTACTGGTACATTTTTTAACGCACTGGTATATTAATTACCAGTAGACTAATGAATTGGTACACTTTTTAACGCATTGGTACATTTTTTTCAGATTGCCGGAGGGAGTCTGCCGGAGAGAATTCGCTGGAGAAAAAGTTTGTCCGTTGATGCAGAGTGGCCGCTGGAGAAAGGAAGAGAGAGAGATAGATAGAGATATTAATGTATAGGATTTAAATTTCAAAAAAAAAAAATACCAAATTGCATATTAATATTGCCTATTAATGGGTTATAATTTTTCATTGGGTTTGTGTGTTTTAATTGGATTTTGATAAATGAGGGGCATTTGGGTAATTTGTCAATTCATTTAACGGTTGATTAACAAATAATTAGACGGAAGAGTATATTAGTTACGTTGTGATATTAGGAGGCTATGTTTGTGCAAAATTTAGTAGAGAGATAAATTTGTTAATTTGTAATAAAAAAAGGTACAAAGTACTATTAACCCCAAAATTTCGAGGAGAGAGTGGAAGGTTTTGACAAGTTAAAGATTGTTTTATCTAATCTCTTTTTTTCTTAATTTCATCGTTATCCTTTGTTTTAACTTGAATTTAATATTTTACATATAGAATACCGCATTAATTATGATCTACACAATGACATTCATTTTGCTATAATTTGAGAAGAAAACTAACTCTTCAAAACATAAGTTGGTTGTTGTATTATCACTATCATATATCATCATGATCTGACAATGGTATGATGACACATCTCTTTCGTGTTCACTCGATATTTAAAAATTTGAACATCATTAATTGTGATCTACACAATGATATCTTTTTTATATATTGAGCAAAAGAATAATTATCCCTTCACAAATATGTGTTTTCTGTCACCTTATCAATATCATAGCATGACCTTACCACTACAGTAAGACTGATAATACTATCATATCACTTTCATATCATGATATCACTAGGATAATATGAAAGTGGTATGATCACGTCAAATGTATGAAATTCTCTTGAACATTATATTATTTAAGAAAATGAATTTTTTATAAAATATAAAATTAGCAAGATGTCAATATTGATCATGAATAATTAATAATAGATACTATGTGTGACATCATATAGTATGTATACATTAAAATTGTAATTAATTTAATATTTCATCAAGTTATCGATAAAATATAAGTAGAGTACAGTATTGTATGTGCAAATTTGATTATCTTAACATAATGATTTTTTTTTTGTTTTCAACTTCTGGGAAGAGAAATAAGGAAATTTTGTGGTGCTTTCAAGTTTTTATTATTTTAAATATTGGTGCTTTCATATATGAATCTTGAATTTTCATGTGGGGAATCTTAATTACTAACCCGAACAATACGCAACTCAATTAACCCGTAAACGACTACCCACAAATCAATGAACCTGGTTAACCCACACTCAATGAACCTATATCCGAATTTTTCATAACCTGATTGAACTCGAATCTGACTAGCACGTAACTCGATAAACCCGAACTCGAATGACTCATAACCCGATTGACTCGCAACTTGGTTAACATGTAACCTGATTGAGCCCAAACCGAACAAGCATGATTGACACCAAATGTGTCCTATTTTCTCTTCTTACCCATTGGAAAAGATGACCATTAGATCTCACACTCTCCAATTTTAATTATCCTTATGTAGTTTTGTAGTACTTCATAATAAAGGTTTTTTGTAGTATAATTTATAACCTAGCCTATTAAAAAGATGTCCTATCTAATTTGATTAACATTTAACTATATTCTATACCTTTTCCCCTTCAAAAGTTATATTCTGTAATTTTTAAAAAAATATATCGTATATATGCTATATTAGTTTAATTTTGTCATTATATATATTATGATATAGATGATTAGCTCCGGACCTCCGGTTAATTAATTTTGATGGATCGAGTTTACAGGTTGATCGAGTCAAAATTGGTCACATCTGATCTAATTAACCTTCCACGTTAAGATTAGTATTTGAAAGAATGACCTCATTTGAAAAAGGAAACGAGACTAATCACAATATAGTTGGTTTTTTTTTATATAAATGGCGAGGTTGTCAAAATTGAAGCTAGAAAAGAAAGAACACCAAGTTTTTTAACGTGGTTTCGTCAATATGACACTAGTCCACGGTGAGGATCTCCCTCATAGGTTTTTTGATTGTTATTGCTTGATTACCCTTTCTACAGATTACACGAGTAATATATAGGTTTAGAAACCTAAACCTCAGCCGACTACTATTAAGGCTATTTACATATTGGTACCTTAAAATATATAATTAACACCCTCCCTCAAATTGATGTCGGTTTACCAGCATCAATTTGCATGATAAGTACCAATGTCGACTTGATGCCACGGCCTTAGTCAACAGATCAGCTGTCTGGTCTTCTGTTGACAAGTAGCTCAACTGTATCCTGCCTTCTGCAACTAGCTGCCGAATATAGTGCACATGAACTTCAATGTGCTTTGTCCGATCATGAAGCACTGGATTATTTGCTATCTGTATAGCACTTGTATTATCTCCATAGATTCGCATTGGCAAGCTACAATCAACTCCCAACTCATTCAACAGACATTGGAGCCAAACCATCTCGGAACTCAACTCGGACGTAGAGCGATACTCGGCCTCAGTTGAAGATTTAGAGACTTTGTCTTGTTTTCTGCACCGCCAAGAAATGAAGGAGCGCCCCAGTCTCACGCACCATCCTGATGTCGAACGCCTAGTATCCAGACAACCGACATAGTCTGCATCAGCAAAACCCTCTAGTTCTGGTCGGCTATCTGCAGGAAAGAACATCCCCAAATCCCGAGTATGCTTCAGGTACCGAAGCAAGCGATGAACAACATCCAGATGGGTAGTGCGTGCCACCCCTAGAAATTGACTGACATTCTATACATCATATGCTATGTCTGGTCTCGTGTGAGTGAGATATATTAAGCTCCCAACTATACTTCTGTAAAACGTTTGGTCTTCCAACAGCTCCCCACTTTCCCTGCTCAATTTCAAATTTTGCTCCATGGGTGTCGAGCAAGGTCGGCAGTCACCATATTGCGCAATCTCCAGAAGATCTATAATGTACTTCCTTTGACTCACAAATAATCCCTTCTTAGACCGATTAACTTCCAATCCTAGGAAATATGACACTTCCCCAAGCTCCTTGAGATTGAACGCCGAATGTAACGACTGAGTAAGCTCTTGTATTCCATCTACATCACTGCCTGTCACAATCATGTCGTCAACATAGAGCAACAAAACAACTATCCCGTGAACTGTATGTCGCAGGAACATGGAGGGATCACTCGAACTTTGTGAAAAACCAGCCTGCAGAATAGTGGCATGAAATTTTTCAAACCAAGCCCGTGGTGCCTGCTTCAAACCATATAAAGATTTCCGCAGCTTGCATACAACATCCTTCCCCTTTTTATCATAACCTGCAGGACATTCCATGTAAATCGTCTCCTTCAAGTCGCCATGCAGAAATGCATTCTTCACATCCAGTTGACGAAGCGACCAATTGTGCATGGCTGCAACAGCAAATATACTAAGAACAGTTTGCATCCGAACCACAGGCGCAAAAGTCTCATCATAGTCTATGCCAAACTCTTGTCGAAATCCTTATGCGACCAAGCGAGCCTTGTGACGCTCGATAGTACCATCAGGAAACATCTTGATGTTATAAAACCATCGATTGCCAAGAACATGCATACCCGGAACACGTGGAACAATATCCCAGGTATGATTAGCCTCTAGTGCCCGCGTCTCGTTGATAAACCGTTAATTACACATGTTTTCACCCCTGTTCATACACCGTTTGAGATGTGGTTTCTCGTGTTTTAGACCGATTTCACGCTAGGTTGTGCTTGTTTGTGATATTTCAGGTCCTGGCAAGTGAATGAAGGTTTAGGAGCGAGTTCGGGGTCGATTGGGCGAAGATCGGGCGCGAGACAAGTCACAAAGGAGGTCACACGGGCACACCCACAACTCACACGGCCGTGCAAGTGACCACTTTGGCCGTGTGAGATTGTGCGAGAGCAAACACGGCTTGCCCTGATGTTCACACGGCCGTGTGAAGGAGTGGTTTGGCCGTGCGAGTTTCGCCGAGAGCAAACACGGGCAGATGGAAATCTCACACGGTCGTGCGACCCTGGCCGTGTGAGAAGCCTGAAGATCGAACTAATTGGAACGCAGCGTTTTGACTCACACGGGCAACTGGGTAAGCCACACGGCCGTGCCACCCTGGCCGTGTGAGTCGGGATTTTCTGCTTTTAAGCATATTTTCAGCCACAAGTCGAGGGGATTCGAGTTTTAGAGAGAGAGATCAGTTCCTAGAAAGAGAAAGCGACGAACAAGAGTCTCCAAGCGCCCTAGCTTGATCTTCAACACCATTGGAGGCCAGTTTGAGCTTGGAGAAGTGCCAATCAACGTCCAGGAGCAGGAATCCATCCTTCTCAGTATGAATTCCGCGTCTGATTCTGCTTTTGCCTCTTTCTCCATGGAGTAGTTCTCCCATTCATCTGGGTATGGAGAACCCTAGATTTGAATGTTAGGTTTGATTGCATGAACCCAAGTACTGATTCTATGATTTGATTATATTCGATTAAGATTTGAATGATTGAATGACATGAATCCTGATCAAATTCCTGTTGTTTCTGTTTTAACTTAGAATGAGAATATCTGCCTAGGTTGATAGAGCATCCTTGACTGAAGGTAGGGATTTGGTGACTTTAGTCGAGGAGCCAACTCACTATTCTGTACCGGATTTACTCCGGTAGTGGAGGTTTTGTTTGTTAAGGCCTCAATCTGTTTACTCCGGTGGAGGTTAGTCGCCCGCTAGAGACTCAGATTGAGAGGGTATGAAGACCTTTAGTCGAGACTTCAGGCTGTTTAAGAACCTTTCGCAGTATAACTATCATAGAAACTGAACTTGGTAATTACAATCCGGCTTAACTGCAGTGTAGAGGGAACCATATCCGGGTGACCTCTCTTAACCTGAATACAACTGTTTACTTGCTTTGGTAGTTTGTTAGTTTAGACTTGCACTAAAGTTTCATTGCTAGATAACAAGAATTCACTGAGTAGTCATCAAATCTAGGACCCGGGTTGATAATTAAACCCAAACCCGCTATACTACGCTTTAGGAAGTGGTTTCACTTGGCCAATTCCTGGAGTGACAGTAGAAGTGAGTCACTCGTCTGCCATTGCAGCATCCCATTCTGGATTACCCACTGCAAAACGATAATGACTAGGAACTGCAATAGGTTCAGTAGAAAAACCAACATAATCCTGCATCCGAAGAGGAGTCCGCTAGCTGAACCGCTACCCTTGGTTCTGAGTCAAACACGGGTAAGGGGAGAAGGAATTCCAGAGCCGGGAGGTGATCTTCGGCAGCAACTGTTTAGTGCATCACTTGTTCAAGAAATACTACATGGCAAGAAATGCGCATACGACGTTCCTTAAGATCATAACATAGATATCCCTTATGACGATCACTATATCCCATGAAAACACACTTGGCAGTTTTGGATTCCAGTTTATGGCGATCTTTCTTCTGCAAAAGAACAAAGCAAACACAACCAAACACCCGCAACCAGGAGTAGTTAGGTTGTTTAGAGAACAGGCAGAAAAAAGGAGACCTATCATTCAATGTGGGTGTAATCTGCCGATTGATGATATAAACCACTGCATTGATGCCCCAACTCAAAAATTGCATGGCACATGGGACTGAAGTAGGAGAGCACGAGTCAACTCCAAAATATGACGGTGCTTGCGCTCAACCAACCCATTCTGCTGAGAAACCCCTGGGCAAGACTGCTGCGAAACAATTCCGTGAGACCGGTAAAACTCCAACAACGGATTCAAACTAAATTCTCCTCTGGGATCTGAGCGGATTATCTTTACCATGTTTCCAAACTGAGTACGAATTAACTAAACAAATGCCTTAGCATGGTCAATTAACTCGGATTTGCGACGTAAGAAGTAGATCCATGCAAAGCGCGTTGCATGATCGATGAACAGTGCAAAATATATGTATCCCAGGCGGGACATAACAGGTGATGGACCCCATAAATCTGTGTGAACTAGATCAAAGGGAGACTCATAGAACGTATCACTAGAGGGAAAAGAGGACTGAGAAGTTTTGGCCTCGATGTAGTGAACTCAGGGTGGCGGAGAACCAAATTTCGACGCTAATGAATCAGGCAATAGATTGCGACGAAACATACTAAGTAATCGAGCATTATGAGGATGACCAAGCGGACGATGCCATAAATCCCAAACAGTTGTTCGAACACTGAAATCTAAAGAGTCTAAAGGCCTAACTGAACAAGCCAACAAATCATGAGAGTCATAGGGAACATCAGACATGTGTTCCTTATTCAACAGAAAAATATCATCAACTAAGCTACCATCAGAAACTACGTCATCCTTAGCCGAGATGGCAAGTGCACCCAAGCTATCGGCATGCCCCACGTCTTTGTCCTCCACTAAGCACGACTTCTCCGGCAACATTTCCTGGGATCGATCAAAATCTTCAAGAACAAAAACGCGGCCATCCTTCTTACCCTTGCCCAGAATTTTCCCCGTGATCTGATCCTGCACAACACAACCGCGATTATCGAACTTGACCTCACACCCATCTTCTGTTAACTGACCAACCAAGACCAGCTGAGGAACAAGTTGCGAAACAAATAATGTGTTGGGCAATGTAACACTGCCAGTAGATGCTATGCCGACCCCATGGGTGGGAATCCGAGCCCCATTGGCTACTTGTAAAGAGGAGGTTAGCCCAGTACTTAATGTTGAAAAATGAGAACGAGCATTAGTCATATGGTTAAAGGAAGAAGCATCAATTAACCAACGAGAACAAATACCTTTGCCACCGCCAGTAGCAAAAGCAGAATTAAGAGCAAGAGGAAGAGCATCCTGAAAAGCCTCAGCTACCAAACGGCGAACATCTGCAGAAGTAAGTCCAGGCAAGAGAGTTGAAACCAAAGCAGGAGCTCCAACTGGAGCTGGAGTGACGACATAACTTGCACCAGCAGGACCATCACCGCGAGACCCAGCTGAACTGCCCGAACCACGAGACCGGGACGAGGAACCACCCCTATTGCGGCGAGCGGCTTCCTTACAATCAAGCACAATATGAAGAGATTGCTTGCAGTAAATACAAAAGTTATTCTGCCGACAGTGGGGCTGAATATGACCCACCTCACGGCAATAATGACAGGTCAAATGGCTTGTGCCACTCTGTTGAAAATGAGGACGAGAGCCCCCAGCACGGCCGATAGCAAAAGCAGTATCATTGGAGCCCCCGAGCCTGGAGAGACTGCGGAGCCGAGTCTCTTCTCGGAAGAGCTCACTAAGTGCTTCATCAATAGAGGAGACGTTACGATGAAGAATAGAGGCCCTGACAGCTTCAAATTCTGGTCGAAGCTTCATAAGGAACTGCATTAGACGAGAACGATCACGATCTCGAATGGAGGCAGCAGTGGCAGGAGTATCCGAGAAGGAGGCGACCAGCATATCCTGCTCAGTCCATCGAGTAACAAGAGCCTGATAATAAGAGCGAATATCACGATCGCCCTGGGTGAAGGTAGCCAATTCACTCTCAATCTCAAACTGTCGTGAAGCATTATTCTGAGAGTAAAGTGAACATATATGGCTCCACATCTCACTAGCCAAATAGAAACGACAAAGACTCAAGCCAGTACCCATGTCAATTGACCCGAGCAGCAATGAAATCATATGAGCATTGCTGGCTTCCCAGTCCGCTTTGTCCTTGTCAGATGAGTTGGCAGCAGGCTGAGGTACCTGCCCGGTCAGAATCAGAAGAAGACGCTTCCCGGCAACAAAGCTACGGAATTGAAATTCCCAGAAAGGGAAGTTCTTACCGTCGAGCTTTGCTGAAACAACTTCTAGTTTCCCTGAATCCATAGTTGAACACAGCAGAAGAATACCAACAGCTGGAGAAATAGATGCTAGGGAAAGAAGAATAGTACCCTGCCCAAACCACAAAGTGCCGACCAAACAAGAAAAAAATACCAGACTGCCCAATGATGTAGAAAACCAAGCTTCCCAAAAGAAGTAGCACTAGCGGACGAAGAAAGGCAAATTGGGACAGCACTCAACAGACAAAAACACAATCAAGCCGCAGAAGAAGACCGACGCAGCGAACAGAAACAATTCCAAGCGGCCGAAGAAAAGCCTGATGCAACCACCAAAAATAAACCCTAGCTGCCGAAGAAAATCTGACGCAACAACCAATTAATCGAAGAAAATCCACAAGCCTCAGATCATAGGCTCTGATACCATGTCAAGAACCAGTTGATCCCAATAACTCGAGTTGTTGGGAGAGGTTCAATCGTGGATCATATACCAGAACACTAACACGCCCCCTCAAACGAAAGCCACTCACAAGGGCTTGAAGTTTGCACGGGTCTGAAGACAAGAATACCATGTGCTTAACAGATGGGGGTCACCGGGAATCGAACACAAGACCTCTCGGTCACAGAAGGCTCTGATACCATGTCAAAATTGAAGCTAGAAAAGAAAGAACACCAAATTTTTTAACGTGGTTTCGTCAATACGACACTAGTCCACGGTGAGAATCTCCCTCACAGGTTTTTTTATTGTTATTGCTTGGTTACCCTTTCTACAGATTACACGAGTAATATATAGGTTTAGAAACCTAAACCTCAGCCGACTACTATTAAGGCTATTTACATATTGGTACCTTAAAATATATAATTAACATTAAAATATATAATTAACAGAGGTGCCACACAAACTGTGTAACATGGACCGGGACGTCAAGGAGGAGTTCTGAACCTAATCAAAAGTTAATTGCTCATAATATCAAAGTTATCAAGCAAATGGAACGACCAATGTCAATTGTCCTCTTAATCAAAAAAAAAAAAAAAAAAAAACAAATGTCAATTGTCCTCGACGGCAGCTTCATCCTTGAAACCTCACTCATTATGTGTTGCCGCAGAATCCATAGATGCATCATGCGAAATGATGGGTAAGTAGTTAAGAATCTGGACTGAGAAAAAAAAAACATGTGGAAAGCAATACGGTCGGAAAAACAACATTTACTCTGACATACATTACAGACAGAGGTCCCTTTGAGATGGACGATATATCAGTTCTTTGTGTGTGTATTTTTTCCTGAAAAGCAATCCTTGCCAGTGGCGGAGGGAGAAGGTAACAGGTTGGGTAACGGAATCCATCCTGGTTCGGGGGGAAATGGTTAAATTAGGTACGATAGTTAATTGATATTGAAAATTTGGTCGGGTTTAATTGAGAATAGTTGGTCGAAAAGTTTTGTGTTTGAATCTTAGCAACCACATTTCTTAAACATACGGTATACAGATTTGTGCAAACATCAATTTCGTATAAGTTAACTTTCTTATAAGGAAGCATGGTAGTAAATGGTATAATATATTATTGAAATCTTCTAACAACTCGATTTATTGATACTAAATATTTTTCTTAGGAACATCATTCGAAAGCGAACGACTAGGTAAATCATGAATTATTGGTTGGTATAAGATTTATTTTTAAACCTCTATCAACAATTCGAGTTATTGATACTAACGGTTCTTAACAAAGAACACCATTTGAAACACTACGACTAACTAAATCAATGATTGTTTGATATATATGCAAAGTGATATTCTTGATATCTTCGACTGCTAATGCATTTTAATTTATCAAATGTTTTCAACGTACGATTATATTAAAAAAAACTATTTTATCATTTTTTTTAGTTGGACCCATCTTATACGAAATCCTGGCTACGCCATTGATCCTTGCTTGTGCAAATAGACACGTTCCATTATGTCTTGCAGTTCTTTTACATCTCTCTTTCCCTCTGCTTTCTTCAAGTAGTACTGCTGCTGGTGGTGTTGTCTGTGTAGTTTTTATTTGTACGCATGGGGGAACAGACAGAACAAGGTGTGTTCCATCTCATTCGGGTGGACCATTACCTTATTCCGGTTGTCGTCCATCGTCTTCTTCTGGTGCATGTCGATACAGCTTCTTTCTTTTTTAACCTTTCATTTCCTTTCTAGCTAGTGTCATGATTGGGAGAGAAAATGTATATTAATATGAAGGTGACGAGCAAGAAAAAGGGTAAAGTGCATATAAAAGAATGCTGGGTTGGCGTTAGTAGTGGTGGGTCGTGGTACGAAGACATTGGTAGACAACCGTAGTTCATAAAGCTGGGTCGTGCCCTGGATGGCTGGTTCTGACGGTATCATAATATTGTTGAACTACCATGCATAGCTCATAGCACCATTTTCCTTTGATTTCTATTTTGATATCATATTGATCATAATCGTCGTCATTTACTTATTAGTTGGGAGATAGATATGATGATCACACAGGGTTTGAAGTTTGGCTCCCCGATATTAAACTTCATTTCATATTTACAACAAGATTTGAAATAATGGTGCAGTTAATAGTGTTATAAAATATCTTGTTAGGTGATCTCTGAAATATCTAATCTGTTAACAAAGGACCTCTTTTATGAATCTGCCAAACAATGGTCTTTGGAAGGAGAACATATATACTACCATCACGTTGATAAGTTGGTGAATGGTTCTTTCACTTAATCTAGATATTAATTTTAGCGATCTTGAAACATTTATATTTTATTTTTAATAATGGTGAATAGATAAAATTAAAGGGAAGAAACAAATGCACAAGTCCAAGAACAAAAGGAAAGGAAAAGAAAAGTGCAGAACAACAACAAAACGAAATGAAACAGCAAACCGCAGCAGCACAAGGAGTGCTCCCCAAAACAAAAAGAAGCAACACCCAAACCCAAGCAAAAGGAAAAGGAGACCAAGTCCACCGAGAGACCTAATAGACTATTGATTGCACGCATTTTTACCTCTATTTTTGAGCCGTTTGAAATGTTGATTCTCGTATTTTAAACCGATTTCACGCTAGGTTGTGTGTTTATGTCATATTTCAGGACTTGGCGTTGACGTGAAGGCGAGGAAACGAGTTTCGGACCAAAAAGGAAGACTTGGGAGTGAAGGGCGCTGGAAGAGGAAAATACCCGGCCAGGAGTTAAAATACCCGGCCAGGTAAAATGCAAAGCGAGACCGGGGAAAAGCAGTTTGGGACGTCTGAAGTCCAGAAGGGGTCCCGGCCAGAGAACGAAAATACCGGATTGGGTATTCTAGACCTCGTTCGGGTATTGGTATTATGCCCTTCACCGCTGCGCTGCGTTTCAAAATCCCCGGCCGGGCACCTGAAATACCTGACCGAGGATTATGACCGGGGGTCGCGACCTGTTGCTTTTTAAGGGAAAGAAGGCCAAATTTGCAAGGGTTCCGAGTTTTAGAGAAAGAAAGTGATATCTAGAGAGAAAGTGACGAACCCGAGTTCCCAAGCGCCTTAGATCGATCTTCATCATCAGTAGAGCCCAGATAACGCTTGGAGTGGTGCCGAATGACGACCAGAAGCAGAACCCCATCCTTTACAGCATGTTTTCTGCTTTTGAGCTAGAGTTTGCTTCTCTCTCCATGGAGTAACTTCCACATTCACCTGGGTATGAAGAACCCTAGACTTGTATGTTAGGTCTGATTGTATGAACCCAGGTTTGAATCCATTAACGTGATTATATTCAATTGATGATTGATTTTATGAATGGCATGAATCCTGATCAAATTCCTCTTATTTCTGCTTTGACCTTGAAAGAGAATATATGAACCCAGCTTCATGTTGTTATACTTATGATTACACCGCTCTTTCCACATGTACCAAAGAATTGCATTGAACTTCTGTAATTTCTCTTTTGAAGCTGATTTACAAGATGCTTTCAACCACTCCAAGCAAGATTTTCCTTCCCCTAATTCAAAAACTTCTTTTACTTTACAAGTACTCCATCTCCGCCGGATCCCATCACAATCCCTCAAGGCGTGCATCTGTGATTCAGGGAGGCCACAGAAAGGGCAATTGGGACAAGCACTATCAATCCATTCTTCAAAGTTTCTTCCAACATGTAAAATACCTCTTCCTGCTTTCCAAAGAAAGAACCGAACCTTAGGATGAATGTCAATTTTCCACATAGACTTCCAGAACTCCGCCTCCTCTTCAGATAGGCTATGAGTGCGGGTCATAGTGCTCAATTGTTGCCCACGAATCCTTAGATAGGCCGACTTGACAGTATAAGAACCATCATCTGTGTCCCTCCAAACTCTCGCATCCTCTCTTGGGGGATAGCTCATGGGAATCTTAGGAATCAGAATCTTATCCTGCTCAGAGAAAAGATCATAAATCTTGTCCAAATCCCACCCTCCCTTGCTGAAATCAACGAGGGAATTAACCTTGTCATCCGGTGTAACACCAGAAGGGAGGGGGTCAGCATGAAAAAAGCTCTTACCCGGTATCCACGCATCATCCCAAACCAAAATGTTGTTTCCATCATCCACCCTCCATCTGAATCCATCAATAATCAGCTCTTTGGCTTCCATAATACTCCTCCAGATAAAGCTCGGTCTATGTCCCTGTTTTGCGTCTAGTATATCAACTTTAGGGAAGTATCTAGCCTTTAAGACTCTTGCTATCAGAGAATGTGGTCTGGTGATGATATTCCACACTTGCTTGCCGAGCATAGTCAAATTGAAAGCATGAAGGTCCCTAAAACCCAACCCGCCTTCGTCTTTCCCATCACAAAGTTCTTCCCAATCCAGCCAATGCAATTTAGTTTCCTTTCCTTTTTGACTCCACCAAAAACTCGAGATCATAGATTGGATCTCTTTAATGGTTCCAGTAGGTATCCGAAAGACTGACATCGGATACAGAAGTTGAGCTTGGGCAACAACCTTTATCATAACTTCCTTCCCAGCTTGAGATAATGTTTTGCTTTTCCAGTCTTTTAATTTTTTCCGAACTCTCCTTAATGCCTTCAAAAACTCCTTCTTCGACCTTCCAACCACAGTAGGGAGGCCGAGATACTTCGGATGCTTCTCCACTTCTCTAATACCCAGGGTGCCACAGATCTCCAGTTTCCTACTAACTCTGACATTCTTGCTAAAAGAAATATCTGATTTGTTGAAATTAATGAGTTGGCCAGATTCTTTTGCAATACTATCATCAGCAAAAAGAAGGTGAGAAACACTAGGGGCCTTCCTCCGTATTAGAATCCCATGAATCTTCCCACTCTTTTCTGCCTCCTTTACGAAAGTTGTGAGCCCTTCAGCACATAGAAGAAAAAGGTAAGGCGATAATGGGTCTCCCTGACGGAGACCCCTAGAGGGCAGAAATTGATCAGACTTGTGGCCATTGATTAAGACGGAATAAGAAACTGAGGAGATGCATTTCATAAGCAGATTGATCCACTTCTCATCAAACCCCATTTTCCTCATAACCTTTTCCAAAAAGCACCATTCGACACGGTCGTAAGCCTTGGCCATGTCCAATTTCGCTGCAAAGAAACCTGATTTCTCCCTTTCTCTTTGCTTCATGAACTGAAAACATTCAAAGGCCACAATAATATTGTCAGTTATGCATCTGCCTGGGATAAAAGCACTCTGTTCCTAAGAAATGATATCATCCAGAACAAGTTTCAAAAGATTAGCCAAGACTTTAGAAATAATTTTGTAAATCACCCGGCATAGGCTGATCGGTCTGAAATCTTTAGGAGTAACCGAAGATTTCACCTTAGGAATGAGAGCAATAAGAGTGTGGTTTATCTCCGGGGGAAGGATTCCAGAGTTGAAAAAATTAAGAACCAATTTAGTCACCTTCTGCCCAATGGAATTCCAATTTCTCTGATAGAAACCCGCGGAGAATCCATCCGACCCCGGGTAAGTCTCTCATTCATAGTAGGAGTGACCCTAGCTTCAATCGCTTGAATAACCCGATCAGTCCCAACAGTAGCTTCCTTCTTAAAAAGTTTTTTGTAATAATCGGTAACGCACCCTGTGACTTCTGTTTGCCCCCTGAAAATTCTGCCATTATCGTCCCTTATCATCTTTATTGTATTCCTCTTTCTTCTAGTTGTGGCTTTAGAATGGAAGAAATCATTGTTTTTGTCCCCACCCTTCAACCAATCTGCTCTTGATCTTTGTTTCCACATGAGCTCTTCAATCAAGATCAAAGTTGACTTCTCAGCTTCTAAAGCTTTCCTCTGATCTAGAACAATATCCGTCTTTATAATTAAAAGTCTTCAGAAGCTTAGCAACCTTCTCCAGTCTTCTTCTAATATCCCCATATTTGCTTTTGCTACACTTCTGCAGCCCAGACTTGCATTTATCAAGAATAGATAAAACATTTTCATTTGAGCCTTCTTCGCAAGCCTTACTCACAATGGCAATTCTCTCAGGATCTTGAAGCAAGTAAGGTTCCACCCTAAAATATCATCCCCATCTAACTTCATGCTCTTCCTTACCTTGAGCATAGAGAATGATTGGGCAATGGTCAGACCCACTCTTATCCATGTGAACCAGCTGGTAATTTGGGTATTGACATATCCAATCCCAACTAGCCACCCCTCTGTCCAACCTTTCTTCAATAAAACGCTCATTAGCCCTGCTATTTTCCCAAGTAAAAGGATACCCTTTGAAGCCAAAATCTAACAAGCCACAATACTCCAAGGCTTCTCTAAATTCCATCGCATGGAGTTCATTAATGGGTCTGCCACCCCTCTTTTCAAAACCAGCCAGAACTTTATTGAAGTCCCCCATACAAACCCAAGGGAGGGAGTAACCATTCTTCAAACTTATAAGGAGGTCCCAGGAACGAAAACGTTCCCCTTTCTCCGCCCACCCATAGAAACCTGTGAACCTCCAGTGATCCTTCTCATCATTACTTGTAACAATAGCGTCAATATGGTGCAGACTATCAGTTACTTTAGTGATATTAACTTCATCATTCCACAGTAAATAGAGACCTCCCGCCTTCCACCCTTTATCATTTCTAGCAGCCACTCCACAACCTATAGAAAAGTTCAATTGCCGTTGAATTTCCTTCCAACCAACTTCATCCTTCCCAATTTCCATAAGAAATAGAATGTGAGGTTGGTGTGTTCGGACAAACTTCTTCAATCTAGCAACTGCCGAGGTGTTGCCCAAACCTCGACAGTTGTAACTTATGATCTTCATTGGGCTCGGCGGCCTTGCTCCTCGGCAAGGACCGCCACATCGCCATCCACATCAGATAATAAGAGGGGTTTGTGCTTTTTTCTCCACCAGAGGCTCTTCATCAATATCCATAGCCTCTGCATTTGATCTCTTTCCAATGGCTATCATTTTTTCTTTTGGCTCATTTCCTTTGGAGATCGACCTATTAAATCTGGACCAAGTCTTCTTATTCTGCCCTTGTATATGTCCCTCTTTCGGGAACACTTATGTTTCCTTTTGGTGTTCCCTCACACTTGTCTCTATCTCAATCTTCAATTGTTCCCCTTCCTTTGTCCTCTCCAGGCTCCCAGTAGTGTTAACAAGGAAGGTGATACTCTTTTGGAGCTCCTCATCCTCCAACCCATTTTTTGACAGATTCTCATCCTTAGTTTCTTTAAACATTTGAGGGTCTTTTAATAGATCTTCCGACTGATGTAAGGTCTCATGTGGTTCCCTAGATTTATCTTTTTCCTTGTTCCTTTCTTCTTTCACTTCTGCCCATAACTTAGCTAGTTTCGCTGATTTATTTTTCTCTTGGAAACGAATTTTCTTCAGTGGGGAATCAGCCCTAAGCCAGGGCACCTACTGATCTTCATTATTCACTTTATCTTCCAGCAGCAGAGGGCAAGCCTTTTTAAGATGTCCAAATAGACCACATTTGAAGCAATATATAGGGAGCCTTTCACAACTTACTTTGTAGGAGACAGGTCCATCTTTTCCCTGTAATTTAACGATCCTTCTTAGAGGCTTTTGAACATTGATTGAAACTCTGATCCTTAGATATTCACTGTTAATTCCAGAGTGTAGTTCATCCCATCTGATATACTTGCCAAACATATCTCCAACCTTTTCTGCCATCTGACTATTCCTGAGATTTAGCGGAAACTTTCTTATACGAACCCAAAAATCAGCCATAGAAAATCCATATTCTGCAGCTCTAGATCAGGAGGGACTTCTTTAAAGATTAAGAGCCGACGTTCCAGGTGCCATGGTCCCCCAAAGAGGACATTATTCTTGTCATCAAAGCAGTAGAGTTGAATGCTTAAAATGTTGTCTTTCGTTATTTGAATATCAAACTCTCTCTTCACCTTCCAGGCTTCACTAAGTATTCTTTTAAGAACTCTAGCAGATGGAGGAGTTCCTTTAATGATTCTCCCAGCCACTCCTAGCTCTTTGAAAGCTTCCTCCACACCTTCTGTTGCATCTGTATCGTCGACACTGATGAGTGTCTCTTCATCTTCAGTTAATATAATCCTAGATAGCTTTTCCACTAACTCATTTTCCATGATCGAAGCAGGGGGAGCCAAAACTGAACCGAGATCCACACTGTTCTCGCCAGGGGAGACCAACCGACAACCGCAAAAGAGGACCAGAGTAATGAAAGTCAGGAATAAAGGAGGAAGCGATAGAGGGAGAAGACAAAGGAAGAAGGGGAAGGAGGGAGAACAAGACAGATGATCAAAACCCGATCAGAAAAACACTCTCCAAAATGGAAGGAAGGAGAAGCGACGAGCACTGACGAACAGTCAGGAAAACCAAAAGACTCTCCAGAGACAGGGAGAAAAAACAGGTAAAGTATACAAATTTCACATTTGATTATTATCTTCTTCCATTTATTTATTAATGAATAATCTATAATAGTTTGAGTATGAAAATATGTAAAAAAACAATAAATTATAGTATATATGAGTTGAATCTATAACTTGATTGTTATTAACGAATTTATTTTATATTTCACTACATTGAATATTTTGTTGTAGTATTATCATGAATGTAATTATAAATATGTAACTCTTATCTCCAATTTTTACAAAGTATAAAATTAAATCCACGAACTATGTCTATCTCCACCGTTATTATCACTGTGTTAAAAATGATGAATTACTTTATGGATTAAAAGAAATTGATGAATTAGTTGATTTGATGGTGGAGACAAAATTGAATATATCATATCTAAAGGTCTATTTGCTCCTCAAAGTTGTATTAATTTTATTGCTAGCAACTCCAAATCTTGGTGATGGCAGGCTAGCTAGCCGCAACGGTTGTGATGGTGATGGTGATTTGCAGCACCGAAAGAAAGATTTGGGATTTATGATATTCAGAGGGGGGAGGAAGAAGGCGGGGTGACAGGCTGACTGCAATCAGTGGCGGATACATGCACCAGGACACCCTTAAAATTTGGAAACACGATTATTCAACCTACGATAGTAATTTGCGTATGAGAAAAAAAATGTTTAAGTGGTAGTGGGACACCTTTAAAATTTGGGAAAATGATTATCCAATCTCCCGTAGTAGTTTGCGTATGGTATAAATAATATTTAAGTAGTATTTTATGTGATTTAAATTTGGGACACTACCACTATTAGTTAATATATTTTCAATTACGCTACAACACATTTGTTATTGTATTTTAGATCCAAATATAATAGTAAAATGTTATTTTTATGTCAAATTATTTTCAAAACCTAACGATTAAACTCAATTACGGGATATCCTTGTCTAGTAAGACATGTCGAGATATATTTATTGAGCAGTATAAACACCGAATGCATTATATCATTTGATGAAACACTTCTCAACGTTTAATGAAACTTTTATTAGTTAGATATTTTCATATTTAATAATTATTTAACTTAATTCTAATATTTAATTTAATTTAATTTTTTATAGAGGACACCCCTACGTAGAATTCCTGAATCCGCCACTGACTGCAATACGATGGTGGCGATGGGTGGCCAACGGCGGTGATCGTTAAAATGATTTGAGCCGGTGGGGAGAGATTCATAATTGGGATTTTCAGAGGAGAAGAAAAGTAAATTGGGAAAAGGAATCATGAACGGGAAATTTTTGTTTTTGATTTTCAATTTATTTTTATTATATATTTATTATCTAATCAAACCAAAACCAATGATTTGGAATCAATCCATCTAATTGAACCAGCCACGTATAATGCCGCCACGGGTGCGGTGACGGAACTATAGAATTTCCGTTAAATGTATAGAATTAATTAAATATTTTAGTGGATGGACTGAATTGGATTCATATATTTGGATACTGTTCATGTGTTTCGAGAATGAATTTTATAAGGCTATGTCGAGATATTTTCTAAAAACAAATGCGTAACTTGATGTTGACGGGGTAATAATGAAATAAATTAGGTTTAGGCTTAGGTTTTTTTTCTAGGTTTATATATGTGAACGGCTATTTGCCGCCAACCAAATTGCTATTTGCCGCCAACCAAAAAAAAAAAAAAATTTGAATTCTCCCTTCCCTTCCTTTCATTCTATAAATTCGGATACCCATGAACATTTGACTCATTCCAACAAAAACTTCTGTTGACGAGCCCAGTGCCTCCGTCGCCGGCACCGTTCTTCCGTCGTCGGCTAACCTCCCGTCGCCCTCAATAGTCGGAAAACAAGTAAGTTTATTTTTTCCGGCCAGTTTTCCAGTTTTCCGGCAAGTTTTCCAGTTTCCCGGCCAGTTTTCCAGTTTTCCGGCGAAAAACAGGGCGGGCCGAAAAAAAACTGCGGCCTAAACGCCGCCGAGCCGAAAACAAATGTCGGCCGGTGCGACGGCCGGCCGAAAAATTCTTTCGGCCCGGCGACGACGCGGCCGCAAATTTTTTTCGGCCGGTCGCCGACCTCTCCGCCCAAAAAATTTCCGGCGGCGTGTTCGTCTGCCGGCCGAAAAAAATTTGCGGCCGTGGCGTCGCCAGGCCGAAAGAAATTTTCGGCCGTCCGTCGCACCGGCCGAAAAAGTTTTTCGGCCCGACGACGCACAGGCCGCAAACTTTTTTCGGCCGGCCGACGCACCGGCCGCAAACTGTTTTCGGCCCGGCGGCGCACCGGCCGCAAAATTCTTTCGGCCCGGCCAGTTTTTGTATTTAATTTAATTTAATACGATAATTAATTAATAAATAAATAAATACTTAATTAGTTAGTAGAAATTAGCAATTAGTGTTAATATTTATTTAAGTTGGTGTATAAATGTTTTTTTTTTGTAATAGGTGTTTGAATGTTTAATTACTTAGATTAGTTAATGGAATTTTAATTAATTAAGAATTGATTTAACAATTAATGTTAATATTCAGTACATTAGTTAATAGAAAATTAATTAATTTGTGATTAATTAACAATTAATTTTAATAGTACATTAGTTAATAGAAATTTAATTAATTTGTGATTAATTAACAATTAATGTTAATATTACATTAGTTAATAGAAATTTAATTAATTTGTGATTAATTAACAATTGATGTTAATATTACATTAGTTAATAGAAAATTAATTAATTAGTGCGCATCTAAGTATGATATTTTGTAAATTTGTAGATAATTAGATATGGATGATGTGGGTGATGCGGGTGATGCGGGTGGGGATGAGTTGTATAGATTCAATGGTAGGATTGTTGATGCATCAGCACGAAGGAAGAATAAGGAGAATAAGCGCTCTCGAGATATTGGACATCAGTCACAGGCAAATTTAGGGGAGGATGAGTTAGAGGCTCCTACTGTAGTTGCTCGTTCGGCATCACGGGCGTCTGGTTCCCATGGGAGGAACCAGGGTGCTGCATCCAGAGTGGTCTCGGCTGAGTTTGATGAGGACGATAGTGATGAGGATATCGAGGTCCCTCCACCTACGCGTGGACATGGACGAGTGCCGTCTCGTACGGCAACATCACGTCCTGCTATGTATAGGGACCGAGCTGGGCGATTCGTACCACCTGCTCGTCAGGAGACAGAGAGCTCGGGGACTGGACGGAGTAGGGGAGGACGTTCGAGTGGTGCTCCACCGTGGGAGCTTGTTGGTGAGTGTCCTAGTGGACCTACGGATCCTAGCCTCATTAGGAGCTTTCGTGGCCACGTTGCCTATGCGCTTTGAACAGGGGCTGGAGATCGAGGGGTCATCAGTTGCTACAGCCGTACATCGGCGGTTGCTTATTTGAGTAGCTACGTATTTAGTCATGTTGAGGCGGAGAATCTGGTTCAGCAGTCAGGTCTCCAGCACCTGATGTACTCTATGTTTCGCAAGATAGCGATTGACGATGCTTTGATCTCAGCTTTTGTGGAGAGGTGGCAGCCAGACACGAACACCTTCCACTTGCCTTTTGGAGAGATGGCGATCCTTCTCCACGATGTTCAGTACTTACTGCAGATTCCTGTTGAGGGACGACTGATGAGTAGGAGTTCTGCGCAGCTTGACCTTCCGGAGGCGGGTTTGTGTGCGCTTCTTGGGATGAACTCGGAGCAGTTGAGTGGTCGTTCGGAGGTCCCTGGATATAATAATAGGGGTAAGTGGTACGAGAAGGGTGGTTTTCTTGCAGAGATGGCGTCCAGATACTTGCAGAGCCACGGGACACATGTGACAGAGGCGCAGTCGTACTTGTTGTTGTTGTTGGGGTCCACTTTGTTTGTGGACAAGAGTAGAGACAGGGTTCGGTCGGTGGTGAACCTATTTTTGGACGAGTTGGAGGAGTTAGATCAGTATAGTTGGGCGTCAGGTACACTTGCTTGGTTGTACAGATACCTTGGTCAGGCGTCTCGTGCTGGTGCCAGGGGGATGGCTGGTTGTCTCACACTTCTACAGTGTTGGATCTACGAGTACTTTCCGGGTTTCAGGCCATCTCACTTCGAGCCTGCCGCCGTTGGACCTGATGATGCTTGGGCTTCACGATGGATTGGGCAGCCGGCACCTGGTTCTGTGGCTGATCCCAGTGTGAGGTTGGCGTTCTACCGTCGAGCTCTTGACAGCTTGACCCCTTCTGATGTGTTTTGGACACCTTTCCATCAGAGGCCTCATCAGGCAGTGCGTCGCTCTTTGTACACTGGAGTCATCCGGTTCGCTGACATAGGCGAGTTCTATGATCCAGCCCGTTGCCTCCGACAGTTTGGATATGTTCAGATGGTACCGCCTGCCCCTTCGCGTCCTCAGCGAGCAGACCGACCAGAGGCACCTGGTGGATATGTCCTTCGGATTCCTGAGAGTTTTGATGCTGCATGGGATGCTCTGCTATCCCACATGGTTCATATAGACATGTACTCTCAGCCATGGACGACGTATCCATATGAGACTACGAAAGACTATCTTGACTGGTTCGTGGCGCATCAATAGGCAATACAGTATAGGCATCATCGTAGCGGTTGGGTAGTGGACGGTTTCCATTATTGACATCAAACACCTGGAATGTGAAGACCATGACTGCGATGTTGTAGATGGTGGCAAACACGAACAAGTCCTCAGAATCCATCCATCGCCCCGGTGGTGCGTGACCCGCCTCGAGCCAATTGATGCGGTCAATGTGAGCTAGTGGACCACCATTATACAAGTTCTCGTACTTCCAAAAATGTTGTTGGATTTCTTGGACAATCGTCGATCTCATGAGCAGATAGTGACTATCATCCCCATAAATACAATGAGAAAGTGCCCTAAAACCACAATGGCCGTCTGGACTAGGGTTGAAATCGCCTACCAGCAAAGGTCGAATAAACTCTGGAAAAAGCTCATCGATGTAAGGGTAAGAATATTGCCCTGGGGGGCTCTGGGATGAGTAATCTAAAAAATATACCAAACGGTCAAAATTACATGGAAAAAATTTACAAACATAAACCAATTACTACTAGATATTAAACCAATTACTCACCTGTATCATGCTCGTCGGATTCACCTCCACTCGATCGGGATCTGACTCCACACGATCGGGATCTGCCTCCACTCGATCGAGATCTGCCTCCACTCGATCGGGATCTGCCTCCACTCGATCGCCCCCTACCTCCACTCGAACCAGGCCCAGTACTCCTCGAACGAGATCGCTCATAATATGAACGAATGCGACTGGTGCTTGTTCGAGGCCGTCCTCTCGGATTCTCATTCACTGCTGGATGAAGCCCATAGAATAGGGCATCTCTTGCTTGTCTCACTGCTTCAGGACCTCTTTCTTCCACCTCAACAGTAAGACGCCTAAAGTGTTCTCGTTGAAGCTCAATTTCATCACTGACTTGTTGTTGACGTGGGGGGTTTTTATAATCCAAAGTCCGCGAAAATACATGCAACTCTTGAGCATAGAATTGACGTCCTTCTTCCTTAGCTTGAACAATCTGGCAAGCACACTTGAGCCCATGTGTCATCTGAAAATGACACGCACAACTGTCCTTCAACTCCGCCGCCCCATCTAACATCAGTTTGATTGCCTCAGAACTAACGACCCTCCTCAAAAACGTGCACAGAGCCTCAATTGCCCTACTCAGATTGCGGTTCAGTGACTTGTGCAGTTCATTCACCACTTCCAGAAACTGATGTTCCATGTAGTTGTGGTTCTTCGCAAAACAAGTGTCGATCGCTCCTCTACCAGACACAAGGAAAGTCTTGAATGAAGAGTGAGATGACTCAACTCTATTCGAGCTCGTGTTACCAAGATGAAACACATGGTTCGTGTAGCACATTGCCCACATTGTCTGATGAGGCAACCACTCACCTCGCACGTAGTCGACCATTTTTTTGTTCTTCACTGTCCAGACCCTCTCAAACTCATTAATCTTTTGAAGAAAACCCTCCTGAGTCCAACTCCATGCAGCTTTGTCGAAATATTTCTTCCATACCGCATGTGCTACCTCTCTTTTTGCAATTCCACCAAGTAACACTTCAAACTTTTGCTTCACACAATTGTTGACGTGCCATAAACATAGTAGGTGGACAGTATGTGGGAGAGGGAAGACCACAGGAATAGAAGCAAGCAAACCACCTTCTTTGTCTGTCACAATGACATTCGGAACCGTATCACCGAGCAACCCTTTAATACATCGCAGCAGCCACTCATATGTTTCCTTTGTTTCCTGCTTAATAATTGCACATGCAATGTTGAAATTCTTCTTCACTGGAGTAACCCCAATAATCTCAACCCATGGCCAGCCGTACCTGTTGGTCTTGTAGGTCGAGTCAATGAGGATGACGTACGGCCATGCATGCAACATTTGAATGGACGTCGGGTGCGCAAAAAACAGATTAGTGAGCACATTATTAGAGTCCTTTTGCAAACAGATATGGTACCCACGATGTTCTGCTCCGTGAAGCGCAAACTGTATCGCATCCATTTCACCCATCTCATCCAATCTTGTCTTGGAATTTATGTTGTACATCTGTTTGATATCATGATGCACACCCCCTTCAGTATTGAGTGTCGTCTTCTGCTGATTTGGTCTCACCCCCGCCTTCCTCATTAATCTTAACCTCTCTTTTTCAGCCTCACTAAACTGTTTGTTGTGTCGGTGATGTTCTGGATACAACACCTTTTCATGGTTGTGAAACCCTCTATTAGCTCCGGTTTCACGACTTGTCACTCCCACCATGACCCATGTGTTTGGACCATCCTTTTGCCGTACTTCCTTTATACATATCTGAAACTGGCAACCAGTACCCTTCGAACTAATATTCCCACGCGTCTCCTTCGTAGGGTCTGGTTTATAAGACTTAACGATCCTACTACTTCTGTCGCAATACATACAGAGGGCAGTAACAGGATTCTGTCCAACAGTATTCGGTTTCCATGCTCCTCTAACAATAAAGAACCCACACTGCTGAGCGATTGTTCTTGCAGCTAACTCAGCTAACTCCACACTTGCATAATGGATCCCATTCTCAAATTCCTGTGTGTAATCATGATTGGCCGGTAACAACTCTGACATTTTTCCTACAATTACAATATAATATATCAATATTCCTGTGAACCTAAACGCTAATTTCAATTCTTAACCGCTAAATTCAACTCCTAAACTCTAAATTCAATTCTTACACGCTAAATTCAACTCCTAAACTCTACATTCAACTCCTAAACTCTAAATTCAACTCCTAAAATCGAATTTTTCCGAAAAATTGCAAAAACAAACTGTGGGCCGAAAATTTCCGGTGGCCGGAACCTGGCCGGGCCGAAAATTTCCGGCGGCCGGAACCTGGCCGGGCCGAAAATTTCCGATGGCTGGAACCTGGCCGGGCCGAAAATATCTTGCGGGATTTTTCGGCCCGGCCAGGTTCCGGCCGCTGGAAATTTTCGGCCCACCATCTGTTCATTTCAAATCGTCGGAAAAATTGTTCGAAACTACAAAAAAATTACGCACCTGCTTAGTGATGATTCATTGATGCGTGTACGCAGTATATGTCGAGGATAGGCTTTCCCGATGATTTTCCGGCGACTTTTCCGGCGAGCGTTGAATTTTTCTGATTCAATATGTTCTCTGAAAGTTGGATATGTTGTAGATTGTGAAACTCCTTACCCTAATATGTATATATATACTTTCTTTTTTTTTTGGTTGGCGGCAAATAGCAATTTGGTTGGCGGCAAATAGCAAGCCCCTTATATATCTGTGGAGAATAATGTAGGCTTTTTCTAGAAAGAGAATATATAACTTGGTGAACACTCCATCAGGCACTCGCAATTCGCAAAATAAGTTGAGATTTTCTTCACCAGCAAACCATTCATTACTGCTTTTGGGCTAGGCCCAACTGTGACCTATCTTCCAAAAACCACTTGACCAGAGGCAACCTTACCGGAAAACAGGAGGCAATCGATTGGGGCATTGGGCTGGAAAGTGTCTCTGCTGTGACCCTTGGGCATAATAGCACACAGATTGGTATCCTCCAAGGCTCCAACAACCCAACAAGTCAACAAGATAAGCCTTCTCCTGGAGAGCAGACACTGAGATTGCTTTAAGATTGAAACAAGGGATGGCCATAAAATCCGAACTCACGAGTATTCTACTTGATAACGATGTAAATGCACATATTTGCGCCCCTAGTTCTTACTCGTTTGAGGGGCATAGTCGTGTATTGTGGCCTATTTTACGCCAGGTTATGCTATTTTGTCATGTTTCAGGTCCCAGGTGTCAAAGGGAAGGCTAAGCGCGAGTTTCGGGGCATTCGGAAGTCATTTCGGTGAGCTGGAGCCAAAACACGGGCACACCTAAATCATTACACGGCCGTGTTCTGGTGGCCGTGCTTTTTATGCCGAGAGCTGAGCTGATTACACGGGCAGGGCCAAAACAAAACACGGGCGTGTTTTGCCAAAGCACGGGCGTGTTCCACCAAAGCACGGCTGTGTTTCTCCCAATGCACTGGCCGTGTAATTAACACTAGCCAAAGCACGGGCGGGCTGAGGCATTACATGGCCGTGCCCTCGACCGTGCTTTGGCTGATGCCTTTTTAAGCAGATTTTCAGCCAAACAGAAGGGGATTCGAGTTTTAGAGAGAGAGATCAGTTCTTAGAGAGAGAAAGCGACGAACAAGAGTCTCCAAGCGCCCTAGATTGATCTTCAACACCATTGGAGGCCAGTTTGAGCTTGGAGAAGTGCCGATCAACGTCCAGAAGCAGGAATCCATCCTTCACAGTATGAATTCCGCGTCTGATTCTGCTTTTGCTTTCTTCTCTATGGAGTAGTTCTCCCATTCATCTGGGTATGGAGAACCCTAGATTTGTATGTTAGGCTTTGATTGTATGAACCCAAGTACTGATTCTGTGATTGATTATATTCGATTGAGGTTTTAATGATTGAATGACTTGAATCCTGATCAAATTCCTGTTGTTTCTGCTTTGACCTAGAATGAGAATATCTGCCTAGGTTAATAGAGTATCCTTGATTGAAGGTAGGGAGTTGGTGACTTTAGTCGAGGAGCCAACTCACTATTCTGTACCGGATTTACCCCGGTAGTGGAGGTTTTGTTCTTAGGGCCTCAATCTGTCGACTCCGGTGGAGGTTAGTCGCCCGCTAGAGAGTCAGATTGAGAGGGTCTGGAGACCTTTAGTCGAGACTTCAGGCTGTTTAAGAACCTTCCGCAGTATAACTGTCATAGAAACTGAACTTGGTAATTACAATCCGGCTTAACTGCAGTCTAGGGGGAACCATATCCGGGTGACCTCTTTAACCTGAATACAACAGTTTACTTGCTTTGTTAGTTTGTTAGTTAGACTTGCATTCCAGTTTCATTGCTAGATAACAAGAATTCACTGAGTAGTCATCAAATCTAGGACCCGGGTTGATAATTAAACCTAAACCCGCTATACTACGCTTTAGGAAGTGGTTACACTTGGCCAATTCCTGGAGTGACAGTAGAGTCGAGTCAAGTTTTTGGCGCCGTTGCCGGGGAACGGCTAGGTTGTTGAAGAAAAGTGATTTCTGTTAATTTAGCTTTTCCTTTTGCTTTGTTTGCTTTGTCCCACTTGTGCCTTCACGGGTTTGCTTGCTTGAGTGTGTGCAGGTAGTGCATGACCCGTAGCCAGTCAGGAGGTTTACTGCCATTGAATCCAGAGATTGACCGCACCTGTCGCCAGCTCAGGAGACAACAGCGAGCTAGACTGGCTATGGAAGAGCGCATAGACGGCCACCTGATTAGCGATTCTGAAGAAGAGCACAGGATGGACGGAGACTACAATCCACACCAGGGGAATCCACAGCAGGTTCCCCCGGTGAATCTTGTCCTGGGGAACAACCCCATACCCCAGGATCATGGAGTTCATCATCCACCGCAGCCGGGTCCCACCTTGGAGTACTACTACACTCCGCGGATTGCTGACATCCGCCCGGTCATCCTCTACCCGAAACAACTTCGAGATCAAGCCATGCTAGATTCAGCTCATTACATCTTCTATCCAGTTCCATGGCTTGAAGAATGAGGAGGCCAGGGTGCATCTTTCCCGTTTTTTGCAGCTGACAAACGGGTTCAAGCTGAATGGTGTCCCCGATGATGCGATCCGCCTTCATCTCTTCCCCCATTCTCTGGCGAGGAATGCTAAGAGGTGGTTGGAAACCCAGCCCCCATTGTCCATCACCTCTTGGGACGATCTGGCGGACAAGTTCGTGCACAGGTACTATCCGGCATCGAAGACCACAGAGATTCAGCGGGAGATCACTCACTTCCGCCAGGAGCCAGATGAGTCACTCCGTGATGCTTGGGAGCGGTACATGGGCTATTTCTGGCAGTGCCCCCATCATGGCTTCAGTGATGCATTCAAAGTGGGGAACTTCTACAGTGCCCTTTCGCTAGATAGCCAGAGGGTGATTGAGTCTCTATGCCCAGGAGGGGATATTCTTACCAAGACTCCACCCGAGCTGAACCAGATGATCAGTACTTTGGCTGCCAGAGATCATTCTTGGGGACAGGGTAGCCGAGGCAGACAGTCCCGGGACCGTGGTGTGCACGCCATGGAGACCAGATCCGGGCTCGAGCAGCAGGTAGCTGAGCTAGTGCAGACATTGAAGTAGCCCAACAGTCTGATTCCGGGCAGAGGTTTGGCTACACCTCCAGTAGCTCAATGTCAGTGGTGTGAGAGCTCCAATCACCTAGTGGAGGACTGCCAGGCTATGAGGGAGTCTACCACACCCCAGGAGCAGTTGGCCTTCATCGCCAATGCGAGGCGCCTCGATCCATACAGCAGTACATATAATGAGGGGTGGCGCCAGCATCCCAACTTCGCCTGGAGCAGCAACACCACTAAACCACCTGGTTTCCCAGCACCAGCAGGTGGTTTTCAGCAGAGGCAGCCCTTCCAGGCTCGCCAGGGGCCAGACCCACAGCAGCAGCCCTACCAGCCTAGGCAGGGCCAGCCATTCCAGCAGCCCCAGCACCAGTTTGCCGAGCCAGCAGCAGCTCCGGCCCCAGATGACACGATGACGAAGCTGGAAAACATTCTAGCTTCGTTTATGACTAGCACCCAGGCTGCTATCACATCACTGGAGGCAGGTCAGCGGAACCAGGGTGCCATTTTGCAGGATCTGCAGACCCAAGTGGGCATCTTGGCCCGCCAAAACACTACCAGGGCACCGGGGACTCTGCCTGCCACCACTGTTCCGAATCCTCGAGATCCTCACCAGCATCAGCAGCTGGATGCCATTTTTACCAGGAGCGGTAAGGTCATATCTGCTGATCCTGTCCCGGCCAGACAGGAGGAACCACTACCTGCTTCAGCACTTCCAGCCGACGATGCAGAAGTGCGGGTGGAGAAAGAAGCCCCCTGCTCCCAAGCCACAACCAGTGGTTAAGGAGCATGTACCCCAGCTTCCCTTCCCCACTCGCCTACACAAGGACAAGCTGGAGACTGAGTTTGCCAAGTTCATGGCAATGTTGAAGCAGCTCAACATCAGCATACCGTTCATGGAGGCACTGTCGAAGATGCCCAAGTATGCCAAGTTCATGAAAGATATCTGCACCAACAAGAAGAAACTTGGGGATCTCTCGACAGTGATGCTGAGCGAGGAGTGTTCTGCTATCCTGCAGAACAAGCTGCCCGAGAAGTGCAAGGATCCAGGGAGTTTTACTATCCCTCTTACTATTGGCAGCATGCATGTAGGAAAGTCCTTGGCGGACCTAGGCGCTAGTATTAACGTCATGCCATATAAGTTGTATAAAATGCTAGACCTAGGTGAACTTAGCCCTACTAGGATGAGCATTCAATTAGCTGATCGTTCTATCGTGCATCCTAAGGGTATCATTGAGGATCTGCTTGTTAAAGTAGGTACATTCACATATCCTGTTGATTTTGTTATTCTTGATGTGCATGAGGATGTGGATGTGCCTTTGATTCTAGGTAGGCCATTTCTTGCCACCGCCAAGGCACTAATTGATGTGCATGATGGTAAGTTGATCTTGCGTGCTGGGGATGAACAGGCTACTTTTTCTGTGACTGAGTTTGATCACTGTGCTATGATTGCTGTCACGCCTGTGAATGCCATTTCTGATCAGGTACACGAGTCTGTCGTGTATCCTTCTGCACCTCCTATTTTGCAGGACCCTCCTATTATTCCTTCGCCGCCACTCCATCCAGCCTCACCTCCGAACAAAAAGCTCAAGGAGGAGTGGCGGCCGAAGCAGCAGGTTGCTAAGCCTGCACGGAAGAAGAGTGGAGACCACTATGAGCTGGTCCCACCTCCTGCACCACGACCACCCTGGCCGTCTGGGTACTCGCTCTCCTACATCTTGCCAGATGGGCAGGTCGAGTTGACTGATGAGGGTGGTCGCATCCGTCGGGTGCATGGCCACAACCTCAAGCTGTACCTCAAGAGAGACGTGGATCCGCTCTTGAAGGCACATGTTCCTGCACCGCCCTGAGGATCCACCATGGGGGTCCAGCTAAAAGACGGTAAAGAAGCACTTGTGGGGAGGCAACCCCACCACGGTTTGATTTTCTTTCTTGTGTTTTGAGTCGGATTGTAACCCGGTTTGGGTTTGGTTTGGATGATATTTTATTGGGCTGACCATTGAA